CTGAAGAAAATACTTCCTTAAAAATTAGAATAGAGCAATTGGAAGATAGTGACTTTATGAGAAATCATGACACAGTAGAACAAATCCAAAAGAATGAAAAATTAGAAAACAATGTGAAATATCTCATTGGAAAAACAACTGACCTGGAAAATAGATCCAGGAGAGAGAATTTAAAAATTATTGGACTATCTGAAAGCCATGATCAAAAAAAGAGCCTAGACATCATCTTTCAAGAAATTATCAAGGAAAACTGCCCTGATATTTAGAACCAGAGGGCAAAATAGAAATTGAAAGAATCCACAGATCTCCCCTGAAAGAGATCCCCAAAGGAAAACTCCTAGGAATATTGTAGCCAAATTCCAGAGTTCCCAGGTCAAGGAGAAAATATTGCAAGCTGCCAGAAGAAACAATTCAAGTATGTGGAAACACAATCAGGATAACACAAGATTTAGCAGCTTCTACATTAAAGGACCACAGGGCATGGAATATAATATTCCAGAGGGCAAAGGAGATAGGATTACAACCAAGAATCACCTACCCAGCAAAACTGAGTATAATCCTTCAGGGGAAAAAATGGTCATTCAGTGAAATAGAGGACTTTCAAGCATTCTTGATGAAAAGACCAGAGCTGAATAGAAAATTTGACTTTCAAATACAGGACTCAAGTGGAACATGAAGAGGTAAACAGGAAAGAGAAATCATAAGAGACTTATTAAGATTGAACTGTTTACATTCCTGCATGGAAAGATGATATTTATAACTCATGAGACCTTTGTCAGTATTAGGGTAGTTGGAGGAAAAAATTATAGTATGTATAGATAGATAGATAGATAGATAGATAGATAGATAGATAGAGCACAGGGTGAGTTGAAGATAAGGGGTGATATCTGGAGAATAAAATTAAGGGATGAGAGAGGATTATACTAGGAGAAGAGAAAGGGAGAGGTAGAATGGGGTAATTATCTCACAAACAGACAAGAAAAAGTCTTACAGTGGAGGGGAAACAGGGGAAGGTGAGAGGAATGAGGAATCTTATTCTCATAGGATTTGGCTAAAGGAGGGAATAATATACACACTCAGCTGGGTATGAAATTCTGTCTTACCCTACAGGAAAATAGGGGAGGAAGGGGACAAGAGAGCAGGGGGATGATAGAGAGAAGGGCAGATTGGGAAAGGGGTAATCAGAAGTAAATGCTTCTGAAGAGGGACAGGATCAAAAAAAGAATAGAATAAATAGCGGTGGCAGGATAGGATTAAGGGAAATAGAGTTAGTTTTTCACAACATGTCTACTATGGACGTGTTTTGCATAACTGCACATGTACAACTTATATTGAGTTGCTTGCCTTTTCAATGAGGGTGGGTGGGAGAGGAAGGAAAATTTGGAACCAAAGTTTAAAAACACATGTTTAAAAAAATGTTTCCACATGCAACTGGGAAATAAGAAATACAGGAAATGAGGTACAGAAATCTATCCTGCCCTACAGGAAAATAGAAGGAAAAGGGGATAAGAGAAGGGGGGAAGAGATAGAAGGGAGGCAGACTAGGGGAAGAAAGCATGCCATGTTGGGGTTGGGGAGGGGCAAGATGGGGTGAAAATTTGGAATTCAAAATCTTGTGGAAGTAAATGTTGAAAACTAAAAATAAATAAATTTATATTAAACAAACACACAAACAAACAAAAAAACAATAGTACCTGTGGTAGAGTGCTATGAGCCCTGGAATCTAAGCCCTGCCACTTAACTCTCTGCGTGACCCTAGGCAAGTTACTTTTCTGGGCCTCATTTTCCTCACTGAAAGATTGTTTTTGTCCAGTGCGGAGCACACAGTAGGTGATTAATAAATGTTTGCTAATGGATCAAAAGGATTGGATTCTTCTAAAAAAAAAGCCTTTTAGCTTTAACTTTCTAGGCTGTGGGGTTATGAAATGAAGAGTATCGTTGTCCCAGCATTATTGATAGGCTTGTCCAAATGGCCAGATCCTTGATGCATTCAGAGGAATTTTTACTTTGTTGGTCCTCAGTGATCCAATGTTATTTATAGGCAGTGTGTTTTATTGTAACTCAGGAAGGCTCATCTTCCTGCGTTCAAATCTGGTGTCAAACACTTACTAGTTGGGTGACCCTGGGCTAGTCATTTAACCTGATTTGCCTCAGTTTCCTTATCTGTAAAATGAGCTGGAGAAGGAAATGGCAAACCACTCCAGTATCTTTGTCAAGAAAACCCCACAAAGGGTCAGGAAGAGTCAGATACTAGAGAAACAAATTTTTTTTTGTAGTATTTACAGCATATGATATGTGCCATTTAGACATCAAGTGACAGATGAATTGGGTAGATAGAAGATTTCCTTATTAGGAGACCCTCACATTGATGAAATCAAAGGCCCAGCTTTTTTTTTTTAATAGTGCAATAAAATGTAAAGGTGAAAAGGGACCTTAGTGATCCAGTTTCCAAGTTCCAATGTTCATTTTGCGGGTGAAGGCCTGGAGAGGACAAGTAACTTAAACAGTATCACACAGTTAGCTAATTAGGGGCTAAATCCCAGTATCCCAAGCATACTTTGGAGATATTTCAGGTTCAGTCCCAGACCACTGAATAAATCAAGTCACATGAATATTTTGGTTTCCTTGTGCATTTAAAAGTTATGTTTATACTGCATTGTAGTCTATTAAGTTTGTAATAGTATCATGTCTAAAAAAAAGTATATAACTTAATTGAAAATACTTTATTAAAAATGGTAACTATCAAATGACAAAAAAAAAGTCATAGCTTCCAGGAATGAGGTGGTGAAGGTAAAATGTCCTGGTCAGACCACATCTCGAATATTTTGTTCAGTTCTGGTCACAAAGCTTAAGAAAGACTTTGATAAGCTGGAGAATATCTAGAGGAAGGCAGCTAGGATGGTTAAGGACTTTGAGTTTGCGCCATATGAAGATGAGTTGGACTAAATGATTTTGGAAGTCCCTTCAGCTCTGCAATTCTGTTATTCTGTGAGACTGGAGATAGGAAAAGATTAGAGATAAAATGGAGGAGGAATGATTGAAGGAACACACTCCTGAAAGAGGGGAGGGATGGTGAGATGGAAGGCTCAAGGAGAAGGTTTAGCCTCGGGGAAGAGAAGAATCATCTTATTCTTTAAAACTGGAACAAAGAGGATGGAGGATGACTTAGAGAGTTTTTAGTTATAGAGGTAATGAGGTGAGGGAACTCCTGATGAACGGTCTCACCTTTTCTCGGTAAAATAGGAGGTAACTGAGAGAGAGAGGAGAAATGTGCTGTGGGAAATGTGAAAGCCAGCTAATCAGAGATGAATAAAAGGATTGCTTTATAGCAGGTAGGGTTCAGTTGAGGTTTAAATAGCATGAATTTTTAGTGGACTCAGCATTTTGTGACTTCTTCCAGCAGTGTTAAGTAGTAGAGAAGATGCAGTAGAAACATGTCCCAATCTTTTTTTTTTTGGCCAGCTGATCCATCTTATAGATGCAAGACAGCACAATATATGAAGTATGAAACACAAGCCCTACATAAATGTTAACTTGCATATTGTACAACTGGACATCTTCAGCTGGCATCTTCACTACCACTTAATGCTGCTTGAAGAAGTTAAGAAATACAAACTATTGTCAGACTTAATGACATCTTCATTCTTTTCTTTGTTGCTGTTTGCTACCACAGCTCTGGGATTACACAGATAAGGAATGTCCCACACAGCCAAGGACATAAGAGTAGGCCCCAGTCTCTAAATAGTGAACATTGAATATACAAGGTCAGTTACTTCATGAGGCAGGCTGTCCCTCCTTGCCTCTTTCTTTTTCTCCTCTACCAGTTGTAATGTTCAGAGATCCCAAAGCTTCAATATGGAAGCAGAGACAACAGATAAGTTTTTCTCCTCACTAATCACTGCCTTAGAAACCTTGGGAAATGAAGAAACTGGTGAAGCATCACCAGACTATGTCAGAGATAAGATTTCTCTTAAAACTCTTAAATTCTCCACTTAACTAAAAAACTGAGCATTTCTATATACAAAATTGATTATAAAAATGGGATTGTATATGAAACTGTGAATCCCTTTTCCATACCACTTGATCCCCCCAAATCATTGTGTATTTTTAAATGTTCTTCTTCTTCATCATCATCATCATCATCATCATCATCATCATCATCATCATCATCATCTTTATCTTTATTGCTCCTCTCTCCCTGCTACTACCTCCTTCCTATAAAAATTTGGGGAGAAACCCTGTCTTTTTAACAAATAAATATACTCAAGCAAAACAAATCAATGCTGAGGTCATGTCCAAAAATTTATATCTCCCTCCACTCCTTAAGTCCATCAGCCTCCTTTTAGAGAGTGGGTAACAATCTTCATCAAAGGTCCCCCAGAGCTATGGTTTGTCATTGTAATAATTAATGGTCTTAAGTCTTTAAAAATTATTTTTCTTTATAGTTTTGTCATTGTATAAACTGTTCTTCTGGCTCTGCTCATTGCAGTCTGTATCATTTCAATCAAGTCTTCATAGATTTCTCTGACATTCTCTCTCTCTCTCTCTCTCTCTGTGTCTGTCTCTCTGCGTCTCTCTGCATCTCTCTCTCTCTGCGTCTCTCTCTCTCTGTGTCTCTCTGTATCTCTCTCTCTCTGCATCTCTCTCTGCATCTCTCTCTCTCTCTCTCTCTCTCTCTCTGTCTCTGTCTCTGTCTCTGTCTCTGTCTCTGTCTCTCTCTCTGTCTCTCTGTCTCTCTCTCTCTCTCTCTCTCTCTCTCTCTCTCTCTCTCTCTCTCTCAATGTGAGGCATTTGGGGTTAAGTGACTTGCCCAGAGCTACACAGCTAGTGAGTGTTATGTGTCTGAGGCTGGATTTGAACTCAGGTCTTCCCGACTCCAGGGCTGGTGCTCTATCCACTGCACCACCTAGCTGGCCATTGTTCAGTTTCATTTTTGTTATTGAATATTTAATTTGATTTGATTGAATTGATTTTTTATTCTGGCTCCCCCTGGAAATCAGCAAAGTAAGTACTTAATGCTAGCCAACTGACTGAAATGCTCTTGGCAACTAATTCATCTCATAGTCACTCTAAATACTAATACTAATACTTTAAATATTAATAAACATTATGTATGTTATGTTATATATAACAGTATATCCTAACGAACATTGTCATAGAGCCCCCATTCATTTTGCAAATCCTTATGATTGGCCAAATTTTCAAAGATTCAGTGACACCATTTTAAATTATATCATTGAATTAATTTTTTCAAGGAAAGGGGAAAAATCAATTAGATAAAAAATGAAATTTTGACCAAGTAAAGGGAGGAAAAGCTTATCTTCCCATCATAAATAATGAACTTTGTAGATATTTGTAACATTTTTTGGTCTGGATTTATGATTTCGTTGATGAATGAAACTCCAGATTCTTTGAAACAACTCTTGGTGAAGAAACTCCCTCTACCAATGAAGATCAGCAACTCTTCGGCAATTTATTATCTTATATAGTTGCCTGAAACTGTGAGAGGTTAAGTGACTTGGCCAAGGTAATACACAATGTTACAGGTCACACTTGAACTCAAAGTTTTCCAGTTCTAAGGCTGGTTCTCTATCAACTTATTCCTGCTGTTCCTCTTACAGTATATTATTATCAGGTGTGCAAGTACTTGATCATATCAGTTCTATTTACATTTTTGCCTGTTTTCAATTCTTGTCCAATTTCTCATAAGTGATCAGAATATACATTTTTAAAAGGTAATAATGGTTTAGTTAATGTCTTTAACTTCTTGATTTATCTTTTTAAAGAGATTGCCTTCAGTTTATCAGTAAAGGCTAATATTTGTTATTCCAAAGTTTAATACTGATCTTTTTTTCATAGTCACTTCATGGATTCCTTTGGGACCCCTAAATCAGAAGATGACCAGTCAGTAGTCAGCAGAATGCAAAAGAAATACTGGAAAACCAAACAGGTCCTAATCAAAGCAACAGGAAAAAAAGAGGATGAGCACGTAGTAGCATCTGATGCAGAGCTGGATGCCAAACTAGAGGTAAATATAAGAATTCCATGAGTGCAAAAGCATAGAACTAGTTAGTAGGCAACTTGAAACAAGTGCACCCTCTGAGGTAGGATGTATAATCTTATAGTGTGAATACATCATATCAGAGGTAACTGAGACTTTTCTGTTAAGTTATATTCTTGATGTGTGGGAGATCATTGTGTATCTCAGTAAGGATTTCTTAATTTTTAAAAATGTTTTGTTTCAAACAGATGCCACATTCTCTTGTGAACTGGCAAGTGAAGACAATAATAATCATGGAATGACAAATATGTCCATCATTAAACCTGTAAACCTAAGTTCTCTGTACTTTAAATAAATCCCTAACTGGAACTAAATTAATGACAAATTTGAATTAGAGAATATTCTTTTAAAGAAATGTTTTATTACTTTTAGGGGCTTGTAATAATTGAAATGGAATGTTAAAAGGTATTTCCAAACAGTATGCTTACTGGATGTACTTTGATAAGTTGATAACTTGTTTATAATCAGCACCATTTGCAATAAAAATCATTAATAAATAAAAGTACTTGAAACAGTTTCTTTTAGTCAGTAGGTCAATTATGACTCCTGAAAAGTTTTTTTGTAGTATTAATTTTCTTAGCATTTTCTTCATATTCCTAACTGTAAACTTCAATTTAGGCCACAATGACTGAGGAATTGGTAGAGTCTGAATTATTGAACTTTTAATGTGTGTGTGAAATAAAATGTACTTTGAGTAGAACAAGGAAGGTAAAAAAGATATGGGAACTTTTATTTGATGTCTTTTAATTTTCAACTTTGTTCCCACAAAAGTATAATTAATTTTTAGGGGGGAGGGTCCTTTTCTATAACTGAATTGTGTCTGGCTGCTAGTTTTTAAAAAGTTTTATTGATGCTTTTTTGTTTTTATGTAATTTTCTGTTGTACTAACCCATGAAATCCCCGCTTTTAACATAGAAAAAATTAAGCAAAACCAACCAACATAACATCTGCTTCTGACAACACATGCAACACTCTGTCTATCCATAATCCTAACCTATCTTCTGAGAGAAGGGAAGTACATGTCTGTATCATAAACTGAACCTTCATCTAATTCTAGTCTAGTTGGGTGTTATTTAGCAGCTGTCCAAGAACTCTCTTTTCTACCTATAGTGTTTGTTTGTTTTAAGATCAAACCGTATCTTTTAAAATTGTCACTGTAAGTGTAGTTGTAGGTTCCAAATCCAATTCATATTTTTGGTTCTGATGAAAAATTGCCTTCCATCCAGATAGAAATTATTTTGTTAATTCTTTTTTTTTAAACAAGTAATCAAGATCAAGCATCAGAAGAACAGAGAAACTGAATTTCAAAGGATTCTACATAATAGTAACAATGATTCATAATAGCCATAAATAAATACTATTAACTATAATTATCTCTGATAATCAAAGCAGGAGATTTAGTAACTGCTGTAGTAATGACAGCTTTATTAAACCCAGCTTTATAGAACCCAAAGTGTGTTACTTTTTCAGTATCAGTTTCCCTGTAAAACCCATGGTTGTCCACACAGAATGAAATGAAAAATTTTTGTAGACAGCTAAAAAAAAGAGTACACACTTGTATCTCAATTTTATATACATATCCCCTGCAGCCTAATAGAGTAACTCATAGTTATAAAGGAAATTAGTGACATGAAAAGTAGTAAATAGAAGATAATGCTAAAGTCACTTATAGTTGATATTGCAATATATTGTAAAATTTTTGCAACATTATTATCTCTCTAATTTTTGCTTATTAAAGTCAATTTGTTCTCCTGGAATACTCATCAGCTATGCCTTGAAGGGAAGCCCAGCTACAACCAAATTTTTTCTATGCATACTTGTATATTTTTTGTTTATTAAGATTTGATGGTATTAAGTGTGATTTGAGTGAAGTTGTTATTGTAGTGCTTAGAGGCTTTATGTTGGGAGAAGGAAAACTCACTGTACTCAGCTGCCTATTTTCATGTGTCTGTTTCTCTAGGAAGTAAAACTAGAACTTAGGTATGTCATTATGAAGGATAATTGACATAATACTTCAAAGAAAATGTCCATTTGTGAAATATTTTCTAACTGATATTTTGTATCTTTTTATAGTTCTTTAAACTGATATCCAAATAAAATTTATTTTTCAAGGTTTTTCACTCCATTCAAGACACATGTACTGAACTTCTGAAGATTATTGAGAAATATCAGCAAAGACTCAATGGTATGCAGGCATAGATATTTATATCATGCTGATTAAATACTCCTATTTTTAAATGGAATTTTAAAAGTTGTTTTCTATTTAAAAATTAAAAATTTCATTTGAATGTTAAATGAGATGTCTAACTTGCTAAAATAATTTTTAGTGATTTTAGGTAACAAACAATCCTATTCTCTCCAAATAAATGTAATTGATTGGTGCTAAGATTATTGATTGCCTGTCACAGCATATTGTCAGTGTACTCCGTACCTATTACCTATCAGTTATGGAGTTCAAGATTCTCAGCCCTAGGTAGATATCACTCCGCAGTGCATAACCCAGGTTGGGGTGTCAATAGGTCTGTTACACAGTTGATGTTGTGTAGGCTTGAACTGTATTGAATCCTACTGGAAAGAAAAAAAATTCCCTCTGATATAAAACTCCACTCAAAATAGAGATCAGAACTCTCTAGCCTGAGAGAATTAATGGCATGCAACTCATTTCTATAGAGACAGTTTCTTCTGATCAATAGAAATAAAATCTTGAGAGAAACTTAATTAATCTTTTTCTTTTTTATAAATTCCTAGTTTTTCTCATATATATTATTTTTCTAATTTTTATTATGCTTTTCTACATTTCTTCTTTAGCTCAAGTAATTATTTAGTTTTAAAAATCATTGGTAATTAAATTTTAGATCAAATAATATTCTCCACTAAATTCCTGTGTTAGTCTTCCTCTGCATTCAGTCAACCAATAAGCATTTATTCAGTTCCTACTTTGTTCCAAGTACTTTCTAGTCATTGGGGGTAGAAAAACAAAAGTGACACAGCCCCTCCCTTCAAGTAGATCACATTCTGTTGGGGGAGACGACGTGTATCTATATAAATGTAGAGAACAGATGCAGAATAAAGATGGTATAGTTTTGAGAAGGGGGCTTTGTGTAGAAGGTGGCACTTGAGGGTGGGCATGGATGGCATGAGTGACAGCCAATGGCATGAGATACAGGGAGAGGAGCAGCAAGTGGGCTGGGATCGCAGAGCTGTAGAGTGAGTGTGTGGAGGGAAGCCTGGGTGAGCAGGAATAAAGACAGTAATAATGGCTTGCATTTAAGGGTTTTAAAGCACTTTTAATGTTATCTCATTGCATCTTCACAAATCTGTGAGGTAGTTGCTGTGATTATCTCCATTTTACCCCTGAGGAAATTGAGAGTGAAGGAGCTTAAATTAAGACTTTTCCTGGGCCACACAGCGGGTAATGTTGGAAGGGGCCATGTTGAGGAAAGTGTTAAATGGCAGAGTTATCTTTGGTACTAGAGGTAATCGGAGCCCCTCAAGTTTATTAGATAGCGGTGGGGAAGAATGACACACTCACTCTGCATTTTAGGATGATCACTGTGGCAGCTGTGTGGAGGATGGATTGGAGTAGGGACACATAGTGTGAAGAGATCAATTAGGGGGCTCTTACTACAGTGAGTAAAAAGTGATGAGGTGGGTGGTTGTGTGAGTGGATGGAACAGGTTGTATGCAAGGGGTGTTTTGGAGACTGAAATGGCAAGATTTGGCATGAGAATGAGGGGTCAACACTTATTTTGTGAACTTGGGTGACTGGAAAGTTAGGGGTACCCATGCAGAAATGGAATAGTTCAGAAAAGAGTTGGAGAGGCAATAAAATATGTTTTGGATAGGTTGAGATATATGTTTGGAGATATCCAGTAGGCATTTGGACTGGAACCCAGGAGAGATAGGGGCAGTTAGGTGGCGCAGTGGATAGAACACCAGGCCTGGAGTCAGGAGGACCTGAATTCAAATCTGGCCTCAGACAAGACACTTGCTGCTTACTAGCTGTGTGACCCTGGGCAAGTCACTTAACCCCGATTGACACACACACACACACACACACACAAAGAAAAAGAAAAAAAAAGAGACAGACCAGGACTAGATATGTAAATCTGGGAGTCTTCTACAGATGACTGTATAGAGATAATTGAATCTACAAGTTACCAAGTAGAAGAGTGCAGAGCAGGGGTGGGGAACCTCTGGCCTCAAGGCCATATGGGTCCTCAACTGCAGCCCTTTGATTGAATCCAAGCTTCAGAACAAATTCTGTGAAGTTTAGATTCAGTCAAAGGGCTGCACTTGAGGACCTAGAAGGCCACATGTGGCCTCAAGGCCTCAGGTTCCCCACCCCTAGTATAGAGAGAAAAGAGAAGAGGGTTCAGGGAAGAGCTCAGTTAGTAGATATGATACTGATGGTTCTCTGTCATAGGTGACAGAGAACCAATGATCTGAGAGGTACAAAGAGAACCAGGAAAGGGCAGTGTTATGAAAATAAAAAAAAAGAGGCTCTACAGGAAGAGAGGGTGGTCACCTGAATGAAATGCAGCAGAGAGGTCAAGAAAGATGAAGACTGGGAAAAGGCCGTTAAATATGGCAATTAAGAGATCTTCAGCAACTTTCCTTAGAACAGTTTCAATTGAGTGATAAGGTTGGAAGCCATATTTCAAAGGGTTTAGAAGAGAATGAGAGGACAGGAAATAGAGGTTCCAAATGTGGATGCTTTTATCCAGGAGTTTGGCTAAGAAAGGAAGAGAGATATAGGCAAGTAATTTGTGGAGATGTGGAGATCTAGTGAGGGATACTTAGATGTGTTTGAAGACAGCAGGGAAGGAAGCAATAGAATATTGAAGAGAGTGGATGATTGTGGGAGAAGTATGCTGTACATCTTTTAGACTCAGTCTTTCAAAGATCACTGGTGTTGGTTCAGAAATCACATTTGCCATTTTTTTAGTTTGTTGTAATCATTTTTGCAAATCTTTAACATTTTTCTTGTTTGTAGTCTTTCTGTTTTCACCTTGAATGCTATTGAGATGACTTGTTTGAGTATCTTGCTAAGCTTTCTTTAAACTCCTGTTTCTGCCTTATGATGTACTACTGCTCATACTTATCCATTATCTTTCTAAGTAAGATTTTACAGATGAGTTTATATTCTGATCCAGTGTTACCTTTGGCAACTGTCTCTCTCCATTTGTCAAGTCAAATGTTTGTTGACTGAGGCACTTTCTGGGCTCTTTTGATTGTCTTGTGGCAATTCATTTATGTTAGCTTAACTTCTGGATGAAATTATTATAGTTGATATCAATGTCATTTCTATTATCCATTTCTCATTTTTAATTTCAATAGTTTGTTTTAGTAATTCAGGGTTAAATATTATTGTGTAACCTATCCTTTTTTCATCGCTACTCTTTCTTGTTTATCACAAATTCCAATCTTTGCACTAAACTGACTCAGGGATAACTCTGGTGTCCACAATAAGTCTTTTCCTGTTTGTCAATATGTAGACATTTAAATTCTTTGTGATATTATTTGGTGCTTGCCGTATCTAGAGCCTACCAATTTTTTATTTCAAAAAAGTGCTCGTAAAAAAAAAATAAATAAATAAAAGGAAAAAAAAAAGAAAAAAGTGCTCATGATGTAAAGGTTCCTGTTTAATCTACAAGTCTTTGGTTGCTCTCATTTCTTTTTCCTGAACCATACTTTCCAATATATTTCTCTCCATTGTCATATTTTCCCACCTTTGCATGGAGGCCACCAAGTATCAGAGTATATATTGATTTGATTTAAAGGGTCTTATCAAGTTTTTTGTAGAAATTCTCCACCATTTTGCCTCAACATCTGATATTGGTGTGTAAACTGCAATTATTTTCTTGGTAATCTTTCTGCAAATATATATATATCATTAGTGCTGCAATCTGTGATGACCAAATGTCCCTTGAAATAATATTTCTTGTAGCCTCAGGGCATATAATAATACATTCCACCAACTCCTTTCTTTGTGTTTATGAAGGAGTACCTTAAAATGACCCACCCTATTTAGCTATAATTTATTTCTTTTTTCTGATTTCCTTTACAACAAGAAAGTCAAAACTAATATGATTTAGCTTCTATAGTAATATGTCTAATCTTTGGTCAGTGGACAGAGATTTCATATTTAGAATACCAACAGGCAAATTAAAATTTTTGATGGTCTAAAAACTGATTTTTAGCATCCTCTTACCCCTTTCTCAATTTATTGTTACTGTCATTGCAAAGTAGAAGGTCACAGGACTGAGGATCATTTAAAATTTTTCTTTATTTTGCATATTGCTCCAAAAAAAGAGTTCGAACACTAGGTGGCCAGCCTACTGAAATTGGTATTCATTTATAATGATAGTTCTTTGGTATTCCAAGATTCTGAAGTGTCCTATGAATTACTCAATTAAATTTAACTCATTTTGATTCAGTAGCCTAGAATGTTTAAGGTACTGTGGGAACAGAAATGAAAATGACAGTTTGTGCCTTGCCTTCAAGAAGCTTACAGTATAATAGAGGACATATGATATAAAGTGGAATGTCATAAAAGCAAAAGAAAAAGTCCAGAAAAATTGTTCTAAGAAAATCTGAGAAGAGAGGGTTCCCTGATCCCAGCTAGGGTAATCAGGAAAGGCTTTTATAGAAGAGTCCACACAACAGATGGAGAAGGCAGAGAAAAATTTCGATAGACCAGAATGAAATCATAGTATTTCCAAGCATTTGATTTTTTTTTGTTTTCCTTTTTAGCTTTTTAAAAAATTTCTTATTAATTTATTTTGATTTATCAACAATCACTTCCATATGCTTTTGAGTTTAAAATTTTTCTCCCCCTTCCTCCCCACCACCCTCCCCAAGACAGCCCACAATCTAATATAGGCTATACATATACATTCCTATTAAACATATTTTCACATTAGTTATGTTGTAAAGAAGAACTAGAACCAAGAGGAGGAACCATCAGAAAGAGGAAACAAAACTCAACAGAAGAGAAAAAAATATAGTTCAACCTCCATAGTTCTTTCTTTGGATGTAGATAGCATTTTCCATCACAAGGCCTTTGGAGATGTCTGAGATCCTTGCATTGCTGGGAAGGGTTAAGTTTATCAATATTAGTCATCGCACAGTGTGGTTGTTATTGTGCACAACGTTCTCTTGGTTCTGCTCACATCACTCAGCATCAGACCATACAAGTCTCTCCAGGGTTTTCTGAAGGCAGCCTGTCCTTTTTAGCTTTTTCAAAGGGATATTTGCTTTGCAAATATAGGAAGAACAAAAGTACAAACATTCTCCGCCCCCTACCCCGGCACATGGGGGTGCACTCTCCCCTATACCACCAAGGGCCTTGAGAAGAATGGGCTTAAACTTAATGCAGTTTCTATATAGCACTCACCATACCGAATGCAGCTTCCAGTTGAGGAGTGACTCATGCATGTATGAATCCATATCTTGGTTATGCTGGGCTTGGTCCTCAGAGATTTTTCTTTGATTGACTGGCCACCAAACCTGGCATGGATGGTGGTGGTTCACTCTCCTGACCTTTCAGAATTCACAAGGTCCCAGCAACATCCAATTGTTGTTGTTGTTCAGTTGCTTCAGTTGTGTCTGACTCTTCATGACCCCATTTAAGGTTTTCTTGGAAAGATACTGGAGTGCTTTGCCATTTCCTCTTCCAGATCATTTCATAGAAGAGGCAACTGAGGCAAACAGGGTTAAGTGACTTGCCCACAGCTAGTAAGTATCTGAGGTCAAATTTGAGCTTGGGTCTTCCTGACTCCAGACTCAGCACTCTATACGCTGTGCTCTACCTGCCCCCAGCCATTTCCAGTACCCTCCATCTAAAAAAGTAAAGATTAAATACAAAGTGGCTCAGAACAGAGGCTTGTAGGCACAGCCCACTTTTTGGCCTCATATGTGGTGGGCTATGGACTTTCCTTTTACCATATTGTCTCTCTTCACTCTAAACAGCAGCTAGTCAGGAAAGAGACCAAGGCCTTAAGCATTGTAAATAACCAGCACGAGTACATAGAGATAAGAGAAACAGGACAAGATTAGGGAACAGCTAGCAGTCTAGTTTGGTATGAATGTTTAGTACTTGAAGAGAGAGTAATATGAAATAAGATTGGAAAGTTAGGTTAGCACCAGATTTTGTTTCTTTTTTTTTAATTAAATTTTTTTTCAATTATTCAAAGTCTACTTTCTCTCTCTCCTACTTCCTCCCTCTCTCCAACCCCCTGAATTGAGAAAGAAAGGAAAACAAAACCCCAGTTATAAACATGTCTAATCAAGTGAAAAAAGATTCCCATAATTGCCATTTCCAAAAAAAGATTGTCTCAATTTGTACTCTTGGGTAGACATATCAGAAGGTCAGTCACATGATTCATCTTAAGTCATCTGGAGTGGTAGTTGATCTTTGTTTTGTTTTGATCGGAGTCCCGAGTCTTTCAAAGTTGTTTGTCTTTATAGTATTTTTGTCTTTTTATAAATTATTGTCCTGGTTCTGCTTTACTTCACTGTTCATCAGTTCATATAGTTTATGCCAGCTTTCTCTGAAACCATTCCCTTCACCATTTTTTATGGCTAGATATGAGTTCAAATAATGAGAAATTCAATTTAGGGTGGATTAGAAAATGATACCAAGGTATATTTAATGCCAGCCACAATTTAGTTAATGCGACATGTGTGATCTTGTTGAATCTTTTAACAAACCCCTACGTTGTCAGTCTGCATTTGGCTATTGTCACATGTGCATGTAATGTGTTCCTGTGTGCCATATATTGCATTAATTTTAAAAAAAGAATTGTTAACAAAATGGGCAAAAGGAAGAATACTTCAGAATACTGCAAGCACAAAAAAGAAGAAACTTATTATGTTACATTATAGCAAAAGTTGATGTGATTGAACAGAATGAATGTGGTTATAGTAACTTTAAAATAGGATGAGATACTGGATGCCTGAATTTATGGTATGCAATATTTTAAAACATACAGGTGAAATAAAAAAAAGGTAAATATGCACCAGTTTTTTTTTTGTGGTTTGCAAACAAGGAACAGAAGTGTTAACAATGGCAGAAGGGAAACATCTTTTGTCTGTATAGATTGAAGATTGCAATCAAAAATGCATTTCTGTTAGCAGAACAGCCATTCAGGCAGAAAACTTCAAGTGTACTTAAAGAAGTAAAAGAAAGTAAGAATAAAGTGGATAGTGAAGAAACTTACTACAAGAGTTGTTTGCTTTAAAAATCAAGTTTAATTGCATAACGTTAAAATTACTGGAGAGATAGCCAGAGCATGAGTTTGCAGCAGCTAAATATTCTGATGTTTTGAAGAAAATAATTAAAGTGGATACACAGATCAATATATTTTTAATGTTAATGAAACAGGCTTATTCTGTATTCCTGAACTTTAATTTTTTTCTCAATTACATGTAAACAAAAATTTTTAACATTCTTTTTTTTTTTTAATTTGAGTTCCTTTTTTTCTCCTTTCCTCCTCATACCCTTCCCTGAGAAGGTAAGCAGTTTGATATGGATTATATATGTGTGGTCATGCAAAACCTTTCCATATTATGCATGTTGCAAAGAAAATGCAGACCAAAAAAACACCATCCCCCAAAAAGTATACTTCAATCTGCATTCAGACTCCATCAGTTCTTTCTTTGCAAATGGAGAGCATTTTTCATCACAAGTCCTTCAGAGTTGTCTTAGATCATTGTATTGCTGAGAATGGCTGTCATTCACAGTTGATCAGCATGTTACTGTGTATAATGTTCTCCTGGTTCTGCTTATTTTACTTTGCATCAGTTCATATAAGTCTTCCCAGATTTTTCTGAAAGCATCCTGCTCATCATTTCTTACAGCACAGTAGTATTCCATCCAAATATACCGCAACTTGATCAGCCATTTCCCAATTAATAGACATCTGTTCAATTTCCTTTTCTTTGCCACCACAAAAAGAGCTGCTATAAATATTTTTGTACACATAGGTCCTTTTCCTTTTTCACTCTTTGGGATATAGACCTAGTCATATTATTGCTGGGTCATAGGGGACACATAGTTTTATGGCCCTTTGGGCATAATAACTTTAATGTTTAAGAAAGAAAAAACACAACCTGGATTTAATGTGTCTAAGGATTGCCTAACTTCTACTGGGAGATAATGCAAAAGGGGATTTTAAGTTCAAAATTAATCCTTTTTTTTTATTGTCTTGAAATCCTCTGGCTCTAAGAAGCTACAACCATTGATCACTTCCAGGTCTTTGGCAATCACATAAAGCATAGGCAACTAAAGCTGTTTCTGAAGACTGGTTTTCAAGTTTTTTTACTGTAGCTGTTGAAAAATATTGCAAGGACAACTACCAAGTTTAGAGCATTACTGATTTTAAATAAAGCCCCAGGTCATCCAACTATACTTGGTTCATTGTATGCTTCTCCCAAATCTTGAACTGGGAAATTCTCCTCTCTGTTTCCTAATCATCCTCCAGTCTTGTTCCTCACTTCTCTTTTACTTTACCCTTATTATCACCTCAGTCCCTCCATATTCTCCCAGTCTAACAACTCTTTTCACATTCCTTGTTAAATCACCTAGTTATATATAATGTTCTCTTGTACATCCTGGTCCCCTTCGGCCTACCATTTTCACGTACATAGAGATACTAATTTAGCTTGGGGAGCAAATGAACTTGCCAAAGAAAAAAGCAGAGAGATGGAGGAAAAGATAAGGATAACGTCTTGGGAGAAACATACATTGGCTAGGAGGAGGAAGATGAACCAGCAAAGGAGACCTACAAGGCACAGTCAGAAAGGAGGGGGAAAAGGAGAAGTAAGTGTTAAGAGATGCCAAGGAAACAGTGGCCATTGGATTTTTTTTAACTCTTCAGACACTTTTCCTGCAATCAGTAGGAAATTTCTAGGTGTTCGTACCAGCGCACCCTAAGTGGTGTAGTGGCTTTGAATGCAAAGGAGGAATTGTGATTTGGAGAGCTGGGGCCAGATTGCACAATAGCAGTGAACAAATTTTCCCTCAGGAGCCAAGCAAACATGGAAAAAGAAGGCATTTTCTAAGAAGCAGTAATTTGTTGATGGGTCTGTGTGCAGTTTAGAACAATCTAAGAACGTGGGTTCTTAGATTATATCATATCATTGTAGATAAATGTGTATTTTAGTTTTGTTTTTATATGCACTGGACTAAAATAATTGTGCTAACTGGCGTTTTTTACTGTCCTAGCTATATCTGAAGAAGAACATGAGCTTGGGCTCTTTTTAAAGTTTCAAGCAGAACAGGATATAACTCAAGCTGGCAAAATGATGGATGCCACTGGCAAGATGCTCTGTTCTTCAGCCAACCAAAGGTTTTTGTTTTTTTTCAAATCAGTGTTTTCTTCATCTTTATCATGTTTGGTATACTTAGTGTTATATTTTAAGGCATATAATACAAGTATAGTAAGGAAATTATAATGTAGCATATAAGTATTTTATAAACATTCCATGCTATTATTGTTGCCTTTAAAATAGTTATTTTCAAAAACATTGAAATCGTCAGTAGCTTGTTCTCTATAAGGAGAATTTGGTATTGAATTTAAATTTCTTTGATGATTTTATATAATCAAGATATAAATATGACAATATTTTAGTAGTCTGCTTTGCCCTATTAAATATGTAATTATTTACTTTACACGTAGTTATTTATAAAACTTTGTAGTTTTCTTTTTTGACATACCTTTGAATGTAAACATATTTTCCTTTTAAGCCATAAATTACATTTATCATATCACACTTTTTTAAGCATAAAAGACACTATGAAGTATCTTATGCTACGTTTACTTAGAGTAGTCAAAATTCCTTAACTTTTTAGAGGAAAAGAAAAGCAGTCCTAATTAAAGGTATGTGGCTGTGCAGTTGAAGAAACCTGGAATCAAAAGGAGGTACAGGAAAGTCCTTTGCCAGGAGAGCACCAGCTGTGGTAGGTGATCTGATAGAGTGGAGAAAGAACTGGGTTCATATTCCAGCTCCACTATTTACTAACTCACTGACCTTGGGCAGCTCATGAAACTTCTCAGGGCTTCAGTTTTCCCATCTGTAAAATGGAGAGTTGGATTAGATGATTGCTAAGGTGCCTTTCCACTTCAGATCCTGTGGTTTTATGTTTGAAAAAGTCTTTAATAAGGTGTGAGAGATCAGTGATGACATGAGCCGTACAATGTTGAAAAACGGAACAAATTCCTTTGACTTGACATGTACTTATAAGCTCCTTCATTTACTTAGAAACTGATTGTTTTATTAGCTCTTTGAGTATTTTATCTGCCTTTTTATACTCAGGCTATGTGTCTATGTAAATGAAAGACTTTTGTTTTGAAGAGTATACTTTGTACAAGTAGTATTTATTTGAGAAATGTAAGTGGTGCATTTACTATAATTGTTACCTGAATAATGTGGCTGATTTACAGAGTTACAAAAATGAGGGACGGTAAAAATGGAGGTGTAGATACCTCATTTATCAAATCAGTGAATGTGTAAGTTTTTTAAAAACTTGCTCATTTTGGTTTTTTGGTATATTAATTTCCTATTAATATATTCATTATACTATTAGATATTTTGAAATTGCTACACTTAATAAAGTGACTTCTTTGTGGATAATGCAAATTTGACCAGTTTGAAGTAGTGCCATACATGTAGAAAATTGATCATTAATTACATGTTCTCCAAAATGGTCTTGAAGATGGAAATATTTTGGTTCTCTCAAGTTTCTAGTTTTTGTTTCATATGTTCCCTCTGAATCTAATTATTTTTATCACTAGATTAGCCTTATGTACTCCTCTGTCTCGTCTTGAGCAAGAAGTAGCAACTTTTAGTCAGAGGGCAGTATCTGATACCTTGATGACAATCAATCGAATGGAGCAGGCCCGCACAGAATACAGAGGGGCTTTGCTGTGGATGAAAGATGTATCACAAGAACTAGACCCAGACACATCCAAACAAATGGAAAAGTTCAGAAAAGTAAGAAAATCTTTTTCCTGTATTGGTGTATATTTTAAACCACAATTAACTTGACCAACTGGATTTAAAACATCACTGTATTTTAATAAAAATGCTATACACTATATGGTACTTTAAGTCCTTAGGGCTTTGTCTTTATTATACTTCTGTTCTATTAATCTCTTTGAAATGAAAAATATTCTTCATTATTGGTCTTTTAAAAATCATTTATTTTTAATTTTCAACATTCACTTCCATAAGATTTTCAGTTCCAAATTTTCTCCCCATTCCTCCCCTCCCCCACCCAAAGACGGTATGCAGTTTGATTTTATTGGTCTTTTGTTTGTTTGTGTGTTTTGGCTCATAGTTTCTTTGATTTATTTCTGAGTAAGCTTATTTTAAACCTAGGAATAAATAAATCTAAACCAGTTGTTAATATAAGAAAAAATGAAGAGACTATAATATTATTACCCCATCAGATTCCATAGCTTTTTGAATGACTTTCCATGAAAACATATTTTGTGCCAAGCCTCAGATAGATGACTATATCTAAACTTCGCTTCATACCATTTGAGTTCATAGTATATAAATTATAGAATGTTTATTAATACTGTGTAAAAGTCTCATTTATTCTCTGAAGTTTCTATTCCCCTTTCTACAGTTCTTAATGTTGTGTATTTTATATAGTCCATCGTTATATGACACAAACATTTAGCAGATAGTATACAGGATACTGTGAAAAGGAACTGGGACCCTTGATTGAGGCAGCCGGGTAGTTCAGTGGATTGGATGCCGGGTCTAGAGTCAGGAAGACTCATCTTCCTGAGTTTCAGTCTGACCTCAGTCACTTACTAGCTGTGTGATCCGACCCTAATGCCTCTAACTCTGACTCTAACCCTGTTTGCCTCAGTTTCCACATCTCTAAAATGAGCTGGAGAAGGAAATGGCAAAGCACTCCAGTTATCTTTGTCAAGAAAATCCAAAATGGGGTCATGAAGAATTGGACACAGCTGAAAAATATCTGAACAACAACAACAACAAGAAAAAGTCCTTGTTTATTTTTGTAATGGTATGAAAGCATTACATATGTGTGTGTATGTATATGTATATATGTGAAATCTGTGATTTCTCTACAACAGACCTCATCTTTAGTCATAGACTTCATATATAATACGTGTAACATATATATCATAATATTCCTCCTCACAGTACCCTACTTTACTATCTGCTAAATGTTTACATCATTAATGTGTGTGTATACAAACACACACACATATTACTTTTGTGGTCTGTTATTGACAATAATAATATGGGCCTTTTATGATTAGGTGCAGATCCAAGTGCGAAATACCAAAGCGTCTTTTGACAAGTTAAAGATGGATGTTTGTCAGAAAGTGGACTTACTTGGAGCTAGTCGCTGCAATTTGTTATCCCACTCACTCACTACCTACCAGGTACCCAACTCCATGGTCAGCATGTCCTTGCAGTAAAGAGGAGTGGTGAGATTTCTTTTTAAAAGTTGACTAAGGGGTTAAAAAAATAAATTACATAGTTAAACTGGAAAGAATCCTCTTAACTTTGCTGTGCTTGGCTTTACTATCAGACTTTGGCATAGTTCAAGCCTAGAACATATCTCTTCTCTAGAATGAAGCCAGTTCTCTGTTCTTCACCACAACGGGCTACAAGTCTTAGCATGGATTACCCAAAGCCACAACAATAAGTAGCACAATATGAAATGCTATAGCAGTAACTCACATTCATTAAAATTTCCATTTAGGACAGTAGAGAAAATAGCAATTGTACAGAAAAACCATAGCTAACTAGTGGAAAGGAAGCCTTTTCCAGCCCTGAGGAACACACATAATTCTGTGTGCTGCTGAGTCATTCAGGAATCCACATCTGGACACAACAAATTAGAGTTTTATTTCTTTTTTGTCTAATACACTAAAACGAACCAAAAAGAAAGGACAGCTGGAAGGAGAAGAGAAGTAAAGAGCCAGGGTAATCCATTTCTAAGTAATTAACTGAGTGCTGACTGGCAAACAGATGACTTTTGTGAAAGGGCATGTGTGTGTGTGTGTGTGTGTGTGTGTGCGTGTGCGTGTGCGCCTATGAATGCACTCATGAATGCCATGAGGGCATGGGGGTGCATGCAGTGTGTGTGCACCGCATGTATGTGTGTGTGCATGCCTTTGATGAAAGAGTTTAGCTATTGGTGTGACTTTTCTTACCCTGACTAGTCATAAGCACATGCATGCATAATAACATAATGATTATACATGTGTTACCCTTCTGTACAGATTGATGATTTTAGTGATTCTTTTCTGGATTTCTTGGAAAATGTTGTAATCTGCCATTTTTTTCTTCTCTTCGTTCACATAATTAATTTTTAGGAAGCTTTTGAGCAGTTATTTGTATAGTACCTATACCCAAAAGTTAATTACTACTATTTTCAATTGCTTTATTTATTGCTATAATTTGGAAGGACTAATAAACTTAATCACCTTTTCTTGGAATTGTTCATCTGTTACAATAGTAAGGAAAATAACACTAACAAAATGTTTAGGTAAAGTGTAGCTGTAATATCCTGTTATCTTTTTCTTCAGAGAACATTGCTTGGATTCTGGGAGAAAACAGCTCGAATGATGTCCAGAATCCACGAAGAATTTACAGGCTTCCGTCCATATGATTTTGTGGCACTAAAGGTGAAATTCTCTCGATGTTGTTTTATGTAGCTTGGGGGAGAATATTGAACTGTTTATCTTTGAGCCTTTTTCCTTCCTTTGCTAGACTAGAGATCTTTTACTTACACTTGTCAACTAGTCTAAGCAAATACATCTGAATACCACTGGAGAGCCAGTGTTACAAGTAGACAAAGGGGAAGAAAGGAATGGGAAAGAAGACAGTTCCAAAGAAAGTGTGAAAGAGGAAAAAGTAAGAAGGAAAAAAAATATAAAATAATAGAGTGGTTCATGTGATAGGCAATACTGTAGTGGGCATCCTACAGAGCTCTTTCTGGATTTAAAAAAAATAAGGAATTCCCTCCCATTGTTGTACTTCTGATATATCACATGTCATTCTTTGGGGATTTCTTTGAAAAGGAGGTGCAAACTATATAGTCTGCTTAACTAATTTTAATTCTATAACATTAAGTAATTCATATTTGCATATTAAAGATATATATAACAGGGGAGTATGTGTGTTTGTGTGTCTTTATTCCGTATTTATGAATCATATATTATATGCACGGTATTGACACTAGAGGAGATACAAATAAGACCTGACCTCTACCCTTAAAGAGCTTACACTCTAATATAGGGGATAAGGAAGGGAGAAAAGCATATATATTTAGATAAATATAATATAAACTGTAGTGTTAAGTACATAAGAAGAATGCCAACTGTTTTATCAGATATCCTTCAATATTCAGCACCTTTACAATCTTACTTATGTAGGTACTCCCTTTCTTCTTATCTTGCACAATTCTTGTCTACATTCTCTCATAGATCCTCAAAAAAAGATCTATCTCACGTGCTGAAGACCTTCCCCTAGATTTTTTTTTTTTACATTTCTTGGGTCCTGATCCAACATTTGAGCTAGCCGTTGCCTTGCACATCGTAGGCACATAATACTACTTGGGTTGTGTGTTGGATGCATCTGTTATTCTTTACTCCTACTATGTGCCATCCTGATCTCCTCTTCCAATCACGTGTTTCCTGAATGATAGACCATATGCTACTTCTTGCACATAATTAAAAATATGCTGTAACCTATTTATGCCCACTGGTAACCTTTATTCATCAGAGACTATGATAGTATGAGATAAAGCACCCTCAGAAGCACATGTGTATTAACAAATGACCTTTTGCTCTGGGATCAGCTTGGGATAGTTTAAAAACAACAAAAACAAAAAATAAAGCAGTGTTTAGCTTCTTAAATGCAATCCAGTTTACTCTCTTCCCCTAGTCAATTTCTGGACCAAATAATTCATTGTCCACTGGCAGTATTTGTCCCAGATGTTCATACTAATAAAATTGATTAATGTTACAGCTTATTTCTGTATTATGTCAGGGTCTGGACACTAGGCATTTAGTTCATTTAGTTTTTTTCTATATTGATTGTTAGGCCAATCTTTTTCGAGAAATCATCAGTTTCATTGGACAGGCCTTGTACTTTTCTAGGGCTCACTGCAGTCAATACAATATCATCTGGAAATAGGGGCATCTGGAGAATCTGACTACCTATACAGATTCCTTCTTACATTCTGTACAGAATGTTCTCCGTGACATTGGTGAATACCTGCGGCAGACAGGTGTCTCATTGTTTTTATGTCTAGTTTAATGTTAAAAAAAAATCAAACAGTTGTTGAACACTTGTCTCTGTGGTTGCCTTTATCAAGGATTCTGGTATAAGCTTAACAGATACATGAGGGTCTCCTTGTTGGAGAACCTTTAAGGTTGCTTTTTGCCCTGATAAGTAAAATGCTTTTTTGTAATCAATAAACAACAATAAAATCTCGTATTTTCTGTACTTTTCATTAAAAGATTCGGAAATAGGGGCAGCTAGGTGGCACAGTGGATAGAGCACTGGTCCTGAAGTCAGGAGGACAAGAGTTCAAATCTGGTCTCAGACCAAACACTTGACACTTACTAGCTGTGTGACCCTGGGCAAGTCACTTAACCCCAATTGCCTTAAAAATCAAACAAACAAATAAATAAATAATTCAAAAGATTCGGAAATAAAAAAAGACAGCCCTTATCTTCAGGGAGCTTATAGTCTAAGAGGGGAATCAACATGTAAACAAATACATAAAAAGCAAGCTTTCTCTCTCTCTCTCTCTCTCTCTTTCTCTCTCTGTGTATATATATATATATATATATATATATATATATATATAAAATATACATATTTATATATATACATATGTATATATATATATAAAATATACATATTTATATATATACATACACACACATATATATGTATGTATGTATATGATTAATAAGAAATCATTAACAGAGAAGGGGGCTGGCTGGGAACAGCTTCCAGTAAAAAATGGAATTTTAGTTGGAACTTAAAGGAAGCCAGAGAGGTCAGTAGTCAGAGCAGAGGAAGGAGAATGTTCCAGGCATGGGGGACAGCCAGAGTGAATGCCCAGAGCTGAGAGATGGAGTGTCTTGTTCAGGGAACAGCCAGTATCACTGGAGTGAAGAGTACATTGTGGGGAGAAAGATATGAGAAGACTGCAAGGGTAGGAGAGGGATAGGTTATGAAGGACATTGAATGCTAAACAGAGCATTTTGTATTGTGTTCTAGAAGTAATAGGGAGCCACTGGAGTTTGCTGAGTAGGGGGTGACATGGTCAGACCTACTTTTTAGGAAAAATCACTAATGGCTGAATGGAGGTTGGATTGGAGTAGGAAGAAACTTGAGGCAGGCAGACCTACAAGCCGGTTATTGCAGTAATCCAGGTGTGAGGTGATGAGGACTTGCACTAGAGTGATAACAATGTCAGAGAAGAGAAGGGAGCGTTATTGGAGAAATGTTGCAAAGGTAAAATCAACAGGTGTTAGCAAAGTTTGGGTATGAGGGGTGAGAGATAGTAAAGAGTCCAGGATGACTCCTAGATTATGAGCCTAAGGTACTAAAAGGATGGTGTTGCCCTCTTTAGTAATAAGGAAGGTAGGAGCAGGGGAGGATTTAGGAGGAAAGATAATTAATTCTGTTTTGGATATATTGAATTTAAGATGTCTACTAGACATCCAGTTCAAGATGTCTGAAATGCAATTGGAGATGTGAAATTGGAGGTCAACAGAGAGTTTGGGGCAGGCTAGGTAGATTTGAGAATCTCAACATAGAGGTGGTACATAAGTCCATGGGGACTGATGAAATCACCAAGTGAAGTAACATAGAGGGACAAGAGAAGAGGGCCCAGGACAGAACTGTGAGGGACACCTACAGTTAAAGGGCATGATCTGGATGAGGATCTAGCAAAGGAGACCGAGAAAGAGTAGTCAGATAGGTAGGAGGAGAACCAGGAGAGAATGGTGTCCCTAAAACCTAGGAAGAAGAGAGTATCAAGGGGAAGGATGATCAGTGGTGGCAAAGGCTGCAGAGAGGTCCATAAGATTGAGGACTGAGGAAAGGCCATTGGATTTGGCAACTAAGAGATCATTAGTAATATTGGAGAGAGCAGTTTTGGTGGAATATAAGTTCAAATGTTGCTATTGATAGACCTGCTCAGTAAGCTGAATTGGTGACTGGGGTCTTATACTGCTCCGTAAACTTCTCTTTGAATCTACCAGCTTAAGACATGCTAATCTTCTTGCCTTCATTTTCTGCTGTTTTATAGATATGGGCATAATGTTTATCTAACCAATTTTATTGTAATGGCTTTCATTCTAGTATTGTTTGTAAGAATCTTTAGATATGTTTAGGGTTTCATTGAGGCAAGCTAATAACATGACTGTTGTCATTATTAAGCTTATGGTCAGTCTTTAAACACTATGGTCACCTACCTTACGATATATGCTGGGCCAAAGAATGTGGATGGTTTAGTTTAGCCCATCATCACCATTAGAAAAATAACTCAAGCAAAATCTCCCAGAAATACATCACTATGCATTTTCCACAATTGTTTCTAGCATTATGTTTTAAGATCCATTAATTTATTTATTTTTAGTTTTCAACATTCACATCCACAAGATTTTGAGTTAACAAATTTTCTCCCCATCTCATCCTTCTCCCAACCCTAAGACAGCATGCGTTCTGAATACCCTTTCCCCTAATCTGCCCTCTCTTCTATCTCCTCCCTTTCTCTTATCCCCTTCCCCTTCTATTTTCCTGTAGGGCAGGATAGATATCTATACTCCATTGCCTGTATATCTTATTTCCCAGTTACATGTGAAAACAGTTTTTTAACATTTGTTTTTAAAACTTTGGGTTCCAAATTTTTCTCCCTTCTTCCCTCCCCACCCACCCCCATTGAGAAGGCAAGCAGCTCGATACAGGTTATAGTATTATGTTTTAATTTATTTGCATGGGGAAAATGATTCCTTTGTATATTTTAAATTTGATTTCTTATTTTAGCGACTCAAGGAGTCTCCAAGCAAGCTTACTGAAGAACACAAAAAGGACAAAGTAGAAAATAATATTCTTACTACTAATCTTGAAAAGTAAGCAGAAAATATTTTATATGATATTATTAAACACCATTTCAGTACATTGTTGTTGCCTGCAACTAGATTGTACACTGAACGGAGAGGTGTGAAATAACTTGTGACATGGGCCAGGCGGAGCAGAATTACTGACTCAGTTTATTCATCTGAGGGTACAGGATATATAGAGAAAATCTAGCCTAACTTCAAAGAGTCCTCCCTGCGAGATACTCCCCAGAACATCTGCTGAGGATGTGACAACATGAATTTCCTCGTTATCAGGGTTCCTAGATTGGGTTGTATTTTCTAAGGTTTTCCCAGGTGCCTTGGTGCCACCTGCATCGAGGAGTGAATGTGTAAATCTAAGGTTCAAAGAGTGAGAAGGAATGTTTCGGGGACCTTCTAATCAGGAAGGGATTGGAGAGCCGTACCACTTAATCATCGAGCCCTTACAGGTAAAAGCCTGGGCAGAGGTCTTAAACCCTTATCAGACTCTTAAGATCGGCCCTCAACACATTGTCAATTCTATTTTTGATGAACATTTTGATGAACATTAAACATTTATTTTGTAGTCCCTTAAGTTTCAGTTTTCCTCTTCCTACTCCATGGGCTTTATGCTGTTCTTTTTTGATATCTTCATTATTTAATTTCTTTTAAGGCTGCCCTTGATGAGATTTCAGCTGGATAAAAATATGACAGGCATATGCCTGGGACCTGGTAATGCTCACCCCATTGCCACTCTCTCTTTTTTTGTTGGGGAGAATGCAGCATCTGAGGAGGTTCTAGTCTAGGGACTAAGAACTGAACCATCTTCTCTACAGTTTTCCTGTTTATCCATATGCCCCTCCTTAACCCCATTTCCTGTCTTCTCCCCATAATTCTGAGTGTGTACTTAAAAAAAAACCAACAACAAAACAATCAAACAACAAAAGCAACAACAGAAAGACTTCTCAGTCATTCAAAACTACATTTCACATTTCAAAGTATGGTCTTAATTTCATGGTTTTGAGTCAATCTGTCAATATTAAATGGAATTCTTGATATGAAGATTAATTTCTCTGTAGAATGTAAGAGAGTGTATAATGTAGAATCATAGATATCACTCTTTGGAAATTCTCTCAAAGACATTGTTTTTTTTTTTAAAGGCTACTTTCTGATTTTTATTGTAGTTAAATGACCTTTAGTTACTGTTTTCAAACAAACAAACAAACAAAAAAGCACTGACCTTCTGTTCCCACCCACCCCCTCCCACCTTTCAAAAAGGGGAAATCTTGAAAATTCTTTTCAAGGCTGTTAAAATTTCTGAGAGGCTCTGACATTTCTATCATAGGGCCCAATTCGATCTTAAAGAAGGTGAGTGGCCATCATAACAATCTTTAGCTACATCTTTTCTAAGAGAGAGAAATTCATATACCCAATGTTCCCATGGCTTACGCCTCTCAGATGACTGAGTAGCTAGCATCTGAAACACTTCTGAGCTAGGACCTGGATGTGGACACCTAAAACAGAATGCTTTTTCACCCCCTAGAAAGTCTCACTTTTAGGAATATAGCAGTCAAAGACATTGTTTTAAGGGAATCTACTGGACAAAAGTTTCATAATACTTCTTCATGTCTTTCCATTTCTCTGACCATAAGAAAACAGTGGACTCTTGAGTTCCGTGCATTTTAACAGAAACACAGAATTTTAAGACTTGGAAAGAACCTCAGAGTCCATCCAGTCCAACCTTTTTCTAAAACAGTTCTTTTCAAAAGGACTGTCTGTCTTTAAAGCTCCATTGTAAGAATGATGCCCTAAACAATCCCCTTCTTATTTTACCTTTTGTCTGAAGAATTTTGAGCCATCTTCTCTTGAAAGCAGAAATATTTGTTTAGGAGATTCTTTCCTTATACACAATACATGACAAATGATCAGTCTTTCTTGAAAACACATTTAGTAAGAGAAAATCTCCCACCTCCTGAAGCAGGCTGTTTTACTTCTGAATAGTCCTAATTATTAGGAAAGTTGTCCTTATTTTGAGCCATATCTGCCTTTCTGCCACTTCTATCCATCATTCCTGCTCTTCAGAACAGAAGTTTAATTCCTCTTCCCATGTGGCAGACCTTCAGATACTTAGAGTTCTCATGTATCCTTTCTCTTGAAGTCTTCTCTTCTTTAAGCTAATTATCCATATCACTGATAGTCAAATGGCATGACCTTTAAACCATCCACTCTGCAGATTGCTCTAATCTAGATGCTTATGAATATCACCCATGAAATATGGAAGCCATAATTGAACACGATGTGCCAGATGTGGTCTGGCCAGGACAGACTATATTGGAATGATCACCTCCTAATTCTGGACATCATGCTTCTTTTAGGGCAGCCTAAAATCACATCAGCTTTGTTTTAGCTGCCATATCACGTTGTTGAGTCAAATTGATGTGAGTTCCCCAACAGCCCCAGATCTCGTTTAGGTGAACTGATGTCAAAGCATGCTTCCCCCCATCTTGTACTTATGAAGTTAATTGTTTAAAATCTAAGTGCAAGACTTCACTTTTATTTCTCTTCAATTTTATCTTACTAGCTTTGTCTCAATATTCATCAAGAGTTTTTGGAACCTGTTATCCAACATGTGAGGTATTCCTCCCTGCCGTGTGTCATCTGCAGATTTAAAAAATATGCCCCTTGCGCCTTTATCCAAATCACTGATTAAAATATTAAACATCACAGGGGCCAAGTGCACCTTGGGTCACTTCTTCCAAGTTTATTTGAAGCCATTAATGAGTTCTTTATGTCTTGCTATTTGGCCATTTCTTTTGTTTGATTGTATTGTCTAACCCATATCTCTCCATCTTCTCCCTCACATAGCAGGAGAAGATTAATCAAATGCTTTTGTCACAATCTTTTAACCAAAATCTTTTCACATTTTTGTTTTGGCCACCCAGGCTGATTTTGTTGGATGAGGAAACAAGTGAAAGAGGAAGTGAAACAGGTAAGATGACAAATTGATTGTACTCTTTTTCATGGTCATATTTAAATGCTATAAAATTCCTTTGAAAAGGACCTCTGTATTTAAAGCTTCATTGTAAGAAAGATGTTCTAAATAATCTTTTTATTTCACCTTCTATTTAAAGAATTTTGAATAACCTTCTCTTGAAAGCAGTTGATCATAGTAAAAGAAATATTTGTTTAGGAAATTCTGTCCTCTTAGGACTTTAAACTCTATTGAATTGAGAAATAGATCAACAAGGGCTATATTATTATGATTAAGTATTGTTAGATATTTTGTATGATTTATGCTTTTTTTATAATGCCATAATAACATAATAAATAATAATGTGACACCATTGCTATCATAATAAAGTTAGGTAAAATGATTGGTCTAAGGTCACTTAGCTAGGAAATGTTAAAGCCAGGATCTAAACCCTAGGTTCAAGCCAGTGTTTTACCACTATATTATTGTATATATGCAGATCAGTTGGTTACCACGTAACATTGTAAATAACTAAAAGATATTTCAAGGAATAAGCCTTATGTAAACAATAATGATGTAGCAAATTTCTATTACAATGATAAGAGTATGCAGTGAGTAAGATGTCTGAGCAGTGAGAAAGCTCATTGTGGGAGTCAGCTCCTCCCAAATGCCTTCCCCGGTTATGAACTTGCTGATATTCTATTTAAAATTTTTGCATCCAATATTAATATATATTGGTCTATAGTTTTATTTCTCTGTTATGAATTTCCCTGGTTTTGTCATCACAACCATATTTGTATCATAGAAGAAATTTAGTAGGATCCTTTTCCTATTTTTTCAAAGAGTTTATATTGAAATTAATTATTCTTTAAACATTTGACAGAATTCACTTCCAAATCCATCTTATCTGATCCTGGGATTATTTTTGTTTTTGTTTTTGTTTTTTGCCTTTTTTTTGCTAGGCAATGGGGTTAAGTGACTTGCCCAGGGTCATACAGCTAGTAAGTGTTATATGTCTGAGGCTGGATTTGAACTCAGGTCCTCCTGAATCCAGAGCCAGTGCTCTATCCACTGTGCCACCTAGCTGTCCCTCTGGGATTATTTCTTTGGGAGTTCACTTATGGCTTGCTCACTTTCTTTTTTTAAAGATTGAGTTATTCAAAATTTTATATATCTTATTCTGTTAATTTATGCATTTCATATTTTTGTAAACTTTTTATCAGTTCTTACGTGTCTTTCTGGATTTTTCTGAAACCATCACTTTCATCATTTTTTTATAGCACAGTAGTATCCAGTCATTTATATATCATAGTTTATTCACTCATTTCTCACTTGATGGACACTCCCTTAGCTTCCAATTCTTTGCCCTCCAAAGAATTTGCTACGAAGAGCTTAGGACTAATCCCTCCTTTAATCAACCTTCCCTCTTATTCCCACTTCTCCCTTTCTCCTCCTGACCCTGTTCTGATCTGCTGGACTTCAGACTCGTGCCTCTACTGCTGTTTCATCCTGGGATTTCCCTCAGGAATCTGGGGCCTCCTCATCCTGGAATACCCTTTCTATCCTGCAGCTCATTCATCCCTCTACAAGTCCCGTCCTCTTTCTCCCATTGGTGAATTCATCTTGGAGCCTCCATTTTGTCATGGGGTCCAGGCTGGTTATTCTCCTGAAGGCTTCAGATTAAGCTGGAGGCTTGCACTAAGACACCTTCTCCACTCATGGGATTAGAGCCACACAGCTGCTGCTTGCTTCTGAACTTGCTCCTCGTTTAGTATGTAAAATAGGGCCTGTGACCACTCCTCACCCTGGAAAGCCACCCCAGATGCATATCCGATCCTCAGTCATCCCTGTATTTGTGACTCAGAACTGGGTACTGAGTGACACCTGGCACCTTCTCCAGTACCCTGCACAAGTTTAGATACCTCTCTGCTGGATTTGGGACCTCCTTTTATGCAAGAGCACAACCTGTTCCTGCTGTGGATACACATGGCCGCTCTTTTGTTCACAGGCTTCTTTATCTCTCTGTTGACCTCAGCTAAAAATATGGTTCACTATAATTTTTTTCTTAAATTTTGTGATCAGGACTTGGTCTAGTTCATCTTCTAGGTTTTTCTGTGGAATATGTGTAAGATAGAGTTCTTCTGTATTTCTGCTACCTCTTACCATAAATGGCAATTCTCTTTAAGCCAGAAAACAGCAAAGCTCGTGAAACTGTCTATCTCTGGGTCATCCAGCCCAGCCAGTTATTCACTAATTCAGAGACTGAATTGACCAATAAAAATAGAGCTTACATGACACAGTTCCTGTTGACCCCTTAAGCTGTAAGCAGACAGCCTTCCCTGGAGCTTGGGCTACTGAAGTCAATTATCTGCCAGTCAGGATCATTTAATTAGATGCTTGTCAGCTGATTGTTCCAGCTGTCACTGCTCGCATCTTGTGTCTTCAATTCTTATCAGGTTCTTCCTTTGGGTTTCTACATCATTATCCTTCAGGAGCTGAATGAGAGATTCCTGACTCTCAAGGACTTATTTTTTTACTTAAAAAGCCACAATTTAATTTCCCAAATTTCAGTTGTCAAATCAACCTTTTTTTCAATCATGTTGTAGTTGCCAAATGTTAATATGATTTCTCATTTTTTTAGTTTTACCCTCTTTTATCATAAAACATTCATGTGTACATGAGCCGAGGTAGCTTTAAAGTCCTCTTTAGGACAAGAACAAGGTTCTCTTGTTCCTTTGGTGTCCTTGAAACCTTTTCTTTTCATTCCCATTTTTCCAGTTTTTAATTGTTAAAAGTTAGTCTTCTGCCTCTAACATCAAACTCTTTATTTACAAGTAAGGCATTCTACATCATTCCCAAAATGATTTGAGGCTTAATACTTACACCACAGTTCATTAATTAATTTTCTGACTAAAAGTGTTCAAATCCCATTTGAAAGCTGTTTTCTTCATATAGATATTAATTAGCAGGTGCTTTTTAAAAAATGAAATACTTTTCTTATTCCTTTTAGGTATCAAAATATTTATTGTAGAAATTATATATCATATACTTTAACAGTTGATGGAAATCTTTTCCTTTACACAAAAATACTTTTTCTGTCCATTTCATATTTAAAGTGCTCATCATGGGGCCTTAAAGGGACAGTGCATCTTTTACTACTATAATTTTGACTTTTGAATAATTGATGTACATAAGAAGAAATTTCAGGTCACTTTAAGTTTATTTGAAGAATCATATGAATAATAAAGGTGGAGGGAACTCAGAAAAATCTTCTGGCCCATTCTCTAAACTTCAAAAGTCCTTCAAAAAGTTTCTCTATTCTTTTCCCTCATGGAGATTTTTCTAGAGGTAGGGATTCCACACTCCTCCCTCCATGGTCCATTCCAGTGTCTTATCACCTTTATTGTCAATAAATTCTTCCATATATTGAACTAAAATATTTTTGCATTTATTCAAGACTATTTCCTTTTTTAAAATTTTTAAATTTTTTAAAACATTTTTTCACTGTTTCCTTTTGTTTGGACCCCTATGGACATAGAGAAGAGCTGTGTAGTATCCTCTTCATGTACTCTACATTCAGCTGTGTGACCCTGGGCAAGTCACTTTACCTGTTTCCCAGTTTCCTTAATTGTAAAATGAGGATAATGATTGTACCCATCTCCAAGAGTTCTTGTGAAATCTCAAATGAGATAATATTTGCAAAGTCTTTAGCACAGTACTGCATAGTAGACCATAGTAAAACATGCTTGTTTTTTCTACATTTGGATCAAAGGTTGTGGACATTTTATTTTCTTAGCATAATTCCAAGTTGCTTTAAAAAATGGTTAATGATGGCACATCCCATTCTTAAAAACAATCTTTTATTACTGTACAGAAATCGGTTTTAAATCTTCTAGCAGGGAGATGTTCTGAGCTTAATTAAAGATCTCATATTCAAAGCTTTACTAGCTTGGTAGAAAGACCTCCCAGAATCTGGGCTTCGACTGCAAGAACGTAGGGTCATCTGCCTAACATCTTTGTACCACTGGCCTGTTTCAAAACATTTTAAAACAAAATGTTTTCATTTCTCAAGGAGCCAACAGATTTTTCAAAAACAGAACATTCCCAGATGGTCAAATGCATTTTATTATAACATCTGAGTGACAGGTCACTTTGACATCTGTATCAATTTTCAAATTTATTCATCAGCTTCATGCACTGTGCCTTTCTTACAAACACAGGAGCCATCCAAAATTTTTCTGATGTTGTTTTTTTGCTATCGTGGCCCGTAGCTGAGTTTGTGATGAGTTTAGTATCATTTCCTTCAAGAATTAGCTCATCTTTAGGAGCTTGAGAAACAGCATAAGCAACGCCTGTTTTCACGTTTACTCTTTGGATATGTTTTTCACTTAAGAAGTTTCTGATTTCCACAAATGAACCATTCTCTTGAATTAACATGAGATGATGCCTTTGAAGCATGTTTTGCACATGACTAAAGACTGTGGCAATTGTTATAAGTTCTTTTCAATTCCCCAACACTTGTCAGTTTTTCTCTTCTTTCCAAGGAGATTGAGCTCAACATGGATATTTTTGAAATCCCTTTGCAGTATTCCTTCAGGGACCCTCATAATAACTGTTTAGTCCTTCAGAGAGATGTAAAGATTTCCTGGGATGTTGACAGCATGATTGTTAAGCATGGTCTTTGTTCTTGCCACAGATGGGTGGAAAAGCACACATCATTTTAGATGCATTATAAACACAGCAGCAGTGTGCTACAGTGGAACGAACACTGGCATTGGTGTTAGAGAATTTGGGTCCTCATCTGATGGTTACTGTCTGCATGACAGTGCTCAAGCCTCAGTTTCCTCATCTTTAAAATGAGAGGTTGAAATAGATGGGCTCTCTGAGGTCCCTTCTCAACCCTACGCCTATGGTTCTGTGACCTTAGGTTCAAATTCCCACCTGCCATTTGGTAGCTGTTGGACCTTTGGTGAGTCATTCAACTTGTCTGGGCCTCAGTTTCCTTATCTACAAAAGAAGAAGGTTAGACTAGATGATGATTAAAGTCCTTTCCAGCTTTATAGCTATAATTCAGTGACCCTGGCTCAAGTCCTGGTTCTACCACTTAATGACTATATAATTTTGGTCAAGTTATTTAACTTCTCTGAGCCCCATTTCTTCCCATTTGTAGAATGAAGGAGTTGGGCTAAGGTTCTTTTCCAACTCTGAATCTATGATTTATAAACATCACATATACTTCTAGGATCCACAGTTTCCCTAGTGTAGGTGTCATTCACAAATAAAGGTCCTAGCTCTTCTCTAACTTAGTAGACATCCTGAGTTGCTGTGCCTGAAATGTTCACTACCTGGAACTTAGCTAGGTTCATTGTCACGTCACAGACACACAGTCCATTCCCAGTCCCATGTGTGAAACCTTTCCACCTTGGCAGAACCGTTTTTCAGGAACCCAGGGTTCTTTCCGGGCCACCCACAGACAACATGGGAAGGGACAGGAGGAACACCCACTGCTGAATCAGTTCTTTTAGGACTTGCAGACATGTACCTGTTCTGTCTTTATGTGTCTTTTTTTTTTTTTTAAACCTGAACTCAGTGTTTATTTTCTTTCAGCAACAGAAGGTCACAAAGAAAACCATTTTCAAATGAGTGAGTTTGAAGCTCCTCAGTTTTCTGGACCTGAAAATGGTAAGAAATTAAAGGCCCTGCCAGTTCAGGACCCTGAGATGTCTAGTTTCTCGTATTTATAGAATTGTAGGATCACAGATCTAAAGCTGGAAGAGCCCCCAGAGACCATCTAGTCCAATCCTTTCATTACATACATAAGGAAACTGCAGTCAAGTGACTTGCCCAAGGTAACACAGGTAGTGAGCATCTGAGGATATGACATATAAAAAGTTAGAGAGACATAATTTCTGGGAAATTAATCATCTTATTAATTATGCTAGCAGATAATTATTAAAAGAGGTCAGTGGCATTCTCGAATGCCAAAGATGGATCATGGTGACTTCCTGACATTTATATACCCTTGGAAGAGTGGGTGTTCCCAACAGGTGGCAATTATCTCCAATTGGTTAACAATTAATGAGAATAATGAATATTATAATGAGAGGTGGGCCAAAATTCACCTAAGGTTAAATTCTTTGTAAGGTTCTCTAGTTAGGTGGGGTCTCCCACCCAGGATTGAAAAGCATGTACCCCAGGACTTTGGGCAATCTCATCATCAACAATTTCCTTCAGACACTGAACACCAACCTACAGGTTTCTGGTTTCTGAATGAGGAAATAAGAAGGGAAAACCTCAATCCTAATGTAATAATTGATTATTAATATAAGAGAGAAATAATCATTTCTCTCAGAACCCAGGTCTTCTGACACCAGTGAAAGTACAGAGAGGATAACTGAATCTTTAATTGGGGATCTGCCTCGTTGTCATTCTGAACAGTTAGCATTAAACTATAGATAGAGATATAGAGAATTGATCCATGTATTAACCTACTCAATCAAATAAGCATTTTTACAGTTCCTGTGATGTTCTAGAGAAACTGATGAGGCATGGGAAAGGATAATTGATACCATAATGATATGGTATCATATATTATGATACCATAATTGATGGTATGGATGTGAAGGTGGGATGAAGGAGACAAAGGATATAAAGATAACGTTTAGTTTACAGACTTTTCCCTGTTTGCCACCCCCACCCTCCCACTGTGGCTAGCAAACGCCTGTAAATCCTGCTCCTATTATCCATGTGGTTTAGAACCAACATCTCTTCTTTGGTGACAATCCCTTTCTCCTACTACTTCTCCCACATTCCCGTTCCCATGCAGCTCTGCTTGACACCTCTTCCATTCCTTTCCTTTACCCCTTTCCACTGTGCTCTCTGAAACTCACCATCTGTTATTAACCAATTTCCCTTTATCCTACACCTCTTCATCTTCCCTCACTCACAGAAACTTGTTTTCTCCTAAAAACACCTTCCACTTGCCAGACTTTTCCAAAGTTGACCATTCCTTCTCTTACAGCCATACTCCAGAAGTGTTCTGATTAGAGTAGAGTATCATAGGATCATCATCTTGTTTCATCAGTTAGTCAAGAAGCACATGTAAATGAATTCTCAGCTATGCTGCAGGCAGTAGGCCTGCAATCCAGCATTAGGGATCTAAAGACAAAAAAAATGAAACAATCTCTTCTCTCGAGGAACTTACATCCTAGGAGGGGAGACAACACACACACACACACACACACACACACACACACACACACACACACACACACACATGCACACACGCATATATTGAAAAAATTAGGGGAAGTCTAGAGGAAGAGGATGCTTTGAGGGAAGGTGACACTCAGTTTTGTACATTTGTACAGAGCACCTGGGTGATGTTCAGGAGGCAGTTGGAAATAGAGGTCATTTCCTCAGCACTTCAGACTAAATATGTCCAAAATAGAATTCATCATGTGTGAATCCATGATCTTTCCCCCATACTTGCTCCTCCTTCAGACTTCCCAATTACTGTTGGACAGTCACTCAGATCTGTAACCCGGAAGTCATCCTTGACTCTTTCCTCTTCCTCGCCCCCACATTCAATCAGCTGTGAGTCGTGTAGATTTTATCTTTATAACATCTCTTGAATCCATCCCCTTCTTTCTGCTCACACGGTCCTTACTATGAGTCAGTCAGTCCAGAATTAAGCATTTACTATATGTCAGGTACTATGCTAAGCTCTGGGGATAGAAAGAAAGGCAAAAATGTGGCCCCTGCCCTCCAGAAGCCCACATACTAATGGAGGGGACCACATGAAAAAACTTGCCTATAAGTTATTTACAGGATAAATGGTAGACAATCTCAGAGTTAAGAAAGTGATAGGGATATTAGGGGAAGGAAGAAGGAGATGACCAGTTGAAGGTGGGATTTGAGCTGAGTCTTGTGAGAAGACTGGAGCCAGAGGTGAGGAAGGAGAGCATTTCAGGCATGGGGGGAGACGGTCAGTGAAAAGTCACTGAGTAGAGTGATGGAGTGATGGGCTCGGGACCAGCATTGCTAGAGGGTATAGTACATGGAGGACAGAAAAGTATAAAGAGGCTTAGAGGTAGGAAGGGGCTAACTTGTGTAGGGCTTTAAAAGCCAAACAGGGGGTTTTATGTTTGATCCTGGAGGTAATAAGGAGCCACTGGAGTTTGCTGAATAAGGGGTGAACGGTGACACGGTCACTCAGACCTGTGCCTCAGGAAAATCACTTGGGCAGCTGAGGATGGATTAGAGAATTAAAGCAAGGAGACCAATCAGGAGGCTACCTCAGTAGTTCAAGTGTGAGGTGATGTAGGCCTTTCCCATGGTGTCAGTTGTGTGAGAGGAGAGAAGGGCAGGCATGTGACAGAGGTTGTGAAGAATAGGAAAGAACAAGATGTAGCAGCAAATTGGGGATGGGATGGACTACTGGTGGAGTCAAGAATGACACCAAGGGTGCAAGCCTGGGTTCCTGGGAAGATTGTGGTGCTCCTAACAGTATCTAAGAAGTTCTGAAGAAGAAAGGGTTTGGGGGAAAAAATAAAGAGTTCTGGTTTTGACATGTTGAATTTCAGATATCTGTAGGATATCCGGATTGAAAGATTGCCAAACGACAGTTGGTGATGAGAGATTGTAGCTCAGGGGAGAAGTGAGATATATAGACTTGGGAATCATCTGCATTGAGCTGATATTTGAAACCATGACAGCTGATTATATAACCACATGAAATATACAGAAGAATAAAAAAGGGCCCAAGAAAGAGCCTTGAAGTAGTCTCATGTTCAGTGGACGGGGCCTTGCTGAAGAATGACTTCAGATGCTGAAGAAAGCATCTTTGCTTTCTCCCTCTCTACTGACTGCTTCCCCTCTTCCTATAAACACATTTCAGCCTACCAAGTACATAGGACGGAGGAACAATCAGACAGGTCCCCTCCTTCCTCTTACTGAGGCATGGGGAAAAAAAGGGAAGGAAAGAAAGAGCACTTATTTAGCACTTACTGGGTGCCAGACCCAGTGCCCAAAATGAATGTCCCTACCCTCAAGGAGATTACATTCTAATTGAGGAAGACAACCCATAAAATGGGAGTTGAGAGGGGACAGATGAGCTGGTACGGGGGCGTAGTTTTGAAATCCAGAAAGTCAGGAACAGAGCTAAGAGGGCAATGAAGATGGACCAGCTTAGCCTCTGCCATAAAATAGAGGCTTCAGCAGGAACTCACCAAAGAGAGAAAGGGCCAGGCCTTAGAGAGACAAATTCCAGCATGAGAAGATGGCAGGGAAGGTTGGATGTTCCAGGGTGAGGAAGCCTGAGACCCTGAAGGAAGTTAAGTGATGAGATAGCAAAGGCTGGTTTTGAAGTCCAGAAAGTCAGGAATAGAGCCAGGAGGGAAATGAAGAGAGAACCAGGAGGAAAGCCTAGAGAGGAAATAGTGTCAGGAGAAGAGGGTGATTGATGTCACGTGTTGTAGAGCTGTTAAGAAGGATGAGCATTGAGACAAAGCCATTAGATTTGGCACTTAAGGGATCTTTGCTAACTTTGGAGAGAGCAATTTAAGTTAAATGATGAGCCAGATTGCAGAAGATTTAGCATCAAGTAAGAGAAAAGGAAGTGGAAGCACCTTGTATAGATGGCTTTCAACAGGACTTTATCCTGAAAGAGGAGGAAGGATATAGGATGATATGTGGCAGGGATGATGGTGGGATCACATGAGGGGGAGATAGGGGCAGATGCTGAAGGCCACGGGGAAGTAGCCAGCAGAAAGGAAAAGACTGAAAAGTAGCAAGAATGGGGATGATAGTGAGTACAATTTGCTGCAAAAGATGGGGTCAAGGGTGCATGCAGAGAGGTTTGCCTACCTGTTCACGTTAGGCAAGGGTGCAAGAGGAGATAATGGGGGAGGACATCTGAGTGACATGAGAGGAGGTGGCAGGGAGAAGAGGGAACCTCTCTTCTATTAAGAAGGAGGTGAATTCCTCCACTGAGAGGATGGGTAGAGAGAACACTAGAGAAGACTTGAGAAGTAGTGAAAAGGTTTGAAATGACTGCTGAGAAGGGGCAAGGCCAATCAACTAGGGATGTATAAAAAGTCTGCTTTGCTGCAGGAAGGGCCCACTTGAGATCTGGTAACAAATCTGTAGTGCACCCAGTCCACATGGTTTTGTGATTTCCTCCAGCTCTCCTCAGCAGCGTGAGTAGGAACAAAGGTGGGCAATAGCAGACTAATTTAAAGTTGAAGTTTGACAAGGAAAGATTGGTGATAGGACAAGGGTACCAGGGAGGGGCTTGAGCATGCAGGGTCCAGTAGAATGACTCCTGATATCTGTGCTTTCTCCCTCTCTACTGATTGCTTCCCCTCTTCCTATAAACATATTTCAGCCTACCAAGTACATTTTTAAAAAATCAAACCTCATCTTCTCTATCATTCTATCTCCTTCCTTTTACTGTTAAAGCTTTTGAAAGAGTGGTTTATACTCATTGCTTTCACTTCCTCAACTTAACTCCTAACCATCTGGCTTCTGTCCTCAATGCTCTAAACTGCGCTCTCAAAGATGTACAATGACTTATAAGCATGTATTTTCTTTCCTGTGTTCCCCTCGTTAAAAAAAAAAACAACTCTTCTAAGCCATATGAATAGTTAAAACAAATTCCCACATTGATCGTGTAAAAATGTTATCTGTCATTCTATGTCATTTGTCCATCAATCTCAGGCGGGGAACAGCATTCGTTATTGGTTTTCTGGTGGTGGTGTTGATCATTGCACTGATCAGAGTTCAAAGCATTGTCTTTATAATGTTATCATTGTATCCATTGTTCACGTCGTTCAGCTCACTTCACTTTTTGTCAGTGGATATAAGTCTTCCCCGGTTCTCTGAAACCTTCTTCTGTTATCTCCTGTGGCACAAAGATGTCCGATTATATTCATGTCACATAATTTATTCAGCCATTCCTGAATTGATGGACATCCCTTCAATTTCCAATTCTTTGCCACCACAAAATGAGTTACTATAAATGTTTTTGGATGTGGGTCTTTTTCCTGTTTGATCCCTTTGGGATCTAATCCTAATGGGTATCACTGTAACAAAGGACAAATATGATTCAGTAACTTTTGGGGTATAGTTCCAGTTGTTTTACTGAATGCTTGGTCCAGTTCACAGCGCTACCTACCAGCAGTGCATTAATGTGCCCGTTTTCCCACAGCTCCTCCAGTTTTTGTCATTTTGCTTCTTTTTATCAACATTGTCAATCTGGTTGGTATGGGGTGGAATCTCAGAGTTGCTTTAATTTGCATTTTTCTAATTATTAGTGATTTGGAACATTTTTTTGTTATGGCTATTGATAGCTGCGATTTCATTTTTAGAAAACTGCCAGTTCATATCCTTTAACCCTTTGTCAGCTGGGGAATGGCACTTATTCTTATAAATCTGAATCATTATATATTTTGAAAATGAAACTTTTATCATAGTAACTTGCTGCAAAGGTTTTTTTTCTCCCAATTAACTATTTCCCTTTTCTTCTTAGCTACATGCAACCTTTTTAAACTTAATTTTATTTTTTAATTGATGAAAACCTACTTCCTTCTCCTCTTGCCTTCTCCCACCCACTGAAAAATAATTTTTTAAAAAATCCTTTGTACCAAATAATCAAGGAAACAAGTTCCTTCAGTGTCCATGTGACTCCGAGTACATCACCTGGCAGGAACGAAGGCAGCTAAATGTGCTAATCCCCTATCAAGAACTTTTGCTATTTACTTATTTGAACTTAGCTTCTTATATATTCAGCAAATTAGGTAGGTCAGTTTAAAGTATTCTTGCTTTCATGCTGATATCTAATAATTTACAGAAATGTACTATTGTTAAGCATGTGTAGTTGTGATTTTTAATACATACCTCTCCAGCTGAGAATGCATTTGAGAGGCTTGTCAATAAAGAGTCCTAGTATGACAGTGATGACACTGAGCTAGGCATTCTTCTCTTGCTCATTGTTTTGCTCTATATGTTATTTCATTTTTCTTTTGTTTGTTAACTTTTCCTAAAATAGTTGCAAAAGATCTTCTTGTAGATTCACTGGAAGGAGAGGATTTTGAGAAGGAATTCTCATTTTTGAACAACTTACTGAGTCCCAGCTGCTCAAGTCCTGGAGAATTTAACCAAGAATGCCACAATGTCTGTGGGAGCCCCAGCACTGTTCTCCCTGCCCAGAACTCTGCTTCAGGAGCAGAGTCTCTATCTAAGTCATCGGGATTCCTCCCTTCGCAACTCTTTGACCTGGGCCGCCATGCTGCTGGAAATTTCAGTAGTAAGTGTTTCAGATTATTTTGTTATATGTACGTATGTATATGTGTATTTTTGTATATTTGAATATATAATTTATATATATTTCGATATACGTATTCTATAAGCAAAACCTTAACGTGAATCAGTATGAAGACCTCTCAAGTTTACTAAGAATTAACATTGCAAAACTTACATTCCTATATCTACCAATCAATTTATGCATAAAATGTTCACCCCTGATATCATTTGCTTTCCCCCATTTCTTCTTGGTCATCCCCACAGAAACCCCCAACACTCAGCTTCAGTTAGTTTATCTTCATCAATAGCCTTGTATAGGTGGCCCCTTATTAAAATGACCTCAATTATGACCTGTAACTCTGCCATGGGAGCTTTTAGACAACATAAATGTACATGCAGGTATCCAGGCATTTATAGATTAATTTTAATATTTAGTTTTTGAAGCTGTCAGTTCACAAATGGCCACGATAATAAAACAGAAACTCTAAAACTGGGAAATTTCAGACAGTGCAGGGTTTAGAGGTTCAAGGTATTTTAGAAAATAGATGGTCAAACCCTTTTTTTCAGAGGACAAACTTCAAATGCAGAAAAGGTAAATGCCTTTCCCAAGACCACCTGTTGTAAGTGCAGAGCGAGGATTTCAACCCTGTTCATCTCTGGCCAAGGCCGGGGCTCTTTCTACAATGCCATCCTCCTGGGGAGAGCGATTCACATTATTCTGAATTAGAAAGGTTACCACTAGTTAGAGTCACTTCCTGAGGCACAGATGAGTAATGGAGCTGATTATTTCTGCCTTCTCTCCATTATGCTGAGATAACCTTGTTGTGCAGATGTGAAAACCAAGCTTCACACAGGTCAAGTACATCAAGCTGTGGTAGAGCTAGAGTAGAGCTTATACACTGCTGCATTAAATAGAAGTTCATGCATTACGTGCTATCAAAATATTTTGTTGTTCATTCGTTTCAGTCATGTCTGACTCTTCATGATCTCATTTGAGGCTTTCTTGGCAAAGATACTAGAGTGGGTTTGCCATTTCTTTCGCCAGCTCATTTTATAGATGAGGAAACTGAGGCAAACCAGGGTTAAGTGACTGGCCATACAGCTAGTTAATGTCTGAGCTGGATCTGAACTTGGGAAGAAGAGTCTTCCTGACTCTAGGCCCAGCTCTCTATCCACTGTGCCACCTAGCTGCCCAATAGAAATATTTTACTGTTTGCAAAAAAAAAAATTTTAGAGGATCTCAAATCTTTTGTTTTCTTTTTTTGTGATGTTATTTTTTTTTATATGTGTCTAATAATTCATTAATTTTTCTTCAAGGCTGGACCTCTCAGGGGGAATCAGTGTTTTCTCTTTCACACACAGATTCTGATAACCAGCCTGTGCCTTTACAGAGTCAACCAAAGAAATCACCAATATGTAAGTCATCTTCTACTCACACAAAAAGAAATAATAGGAGTCAGATAAAGGTTTTTCAAGAGTAGAAGCGGCCTAGTGTTTTCCACATGATGAATAGAGTGCTTTGCTGAATCAAAAGGAGGTTGGGGGGAGAAACGCTGTACCATTTGTCATCATAGTGAATATTTAAATTGAGTAGATGAGCTTCTCACTCTAACTCACTACTTATATCTCTAAAGATCACTACCCAGATTGCAGGTTAGTAGCCAACGCCCAACATTTTGCCCATAAACAGAACAGCTGTTCAGTTTTGAGTACCTGTTTAAATTAGGTAACAAATTTTCATCATGTTTCAAGAATTTAGGGCTTAAAAAATACCAGAATAGTGATTTTCTAACCTCTCCAGGGACCACAGCAGACTTGACAAATAAGAAGTTTATGTTTGGCAATAATACATACTGGTGTTGGCAGCAAAAGGGATCACTACACTCAGAATCACGTAGATAGGGTAGATTTGTCTCTGAAGGTACACCCATTTTTATGGTCCAGATTAATCCCTGCCAACCTTCCAGTCAAAATAAGACAAGCTACTCAAATAAAAGGGAGTATGGACTAATATAAAGGGAAAACCAAGCCAGTTTTAGAGCTTTAAGTAGGTTTGGAGTTGGTACTGAGTTGTAACTACATGTTCAAAGACATAACAAAGTTATGGACGTAGTCTATGTGTTGCTTTTAAACTATCATCTGATTTTCTGTTAAAAATCTATTTCTAAATATATTATTGCTTATGATTGAGGTATAGGTATTAGCCTTAATCTCGAATCTTACTTGAGAGCCTTTGCAATGTGGTATCAGGCAAGCACTGAGCTACCTAGGTAACTCCTACCTCCCAATAGGGACTTTATGCTTTTGTCTCGTTTCCTTTTTATTTTTATACTCACTTTTGCACTTTTGAAATTTCTTGAGGTAGCCAGCAGTTATTTAATCTTCAGTGAAATACAGTGTCTTTAGTTGCTTTTTTAGTCTTCTCCTCAGGCTGTTCTCTTTGCTTCCACCTCCACTCCCTGTCCCTCCCTCACTGCTGTCCACTCTGGATTTAGCTCCTAACCCTTGGCTTTCTTGGCACAAATGAAAGAGCCCAGAAGTACAGCTAATGTCCCTCCCCTCACTTCCCATCCCCTGGGCAACCCAGCTCTCCATCTTCTTTCCCCTAGCCCAGGTTGCCTCCCTTCTGAGGAATCTCAGGTACCTGGGGTTGGGGCAGGAGGCACTAGAGGGTGCCCCGAGGCCCCTAGCAGTTTTCATGAGTCATGGGAGCCCGTGGGGTTGGTCCTCAGACTCTTCTACCCACTGGCTACTCTCCTCTCTCCTTCTCCCCTAATGTAGTAGGGATTAGAGAAACATTTTCTAAGCCTGGGACTTGTTCTCCTACTTCCACCTCACCATCCAACGGTCTCCTTTATTTTTTATCCTCAGATTTTTATTTTGGTTCTGAAATTTAAAAAAACAAACCCTTTCTTGTCCTTCTGTGTCAAAAGCCACCAAGTTTGTGGCATCCTTCCTCACCCTCAGCCATTTCTCACGTCTGTGTGTGGGAGTGGGCAATACAGACTCCCAGGAGGTCTGCATTCTACAAAATCCCTCCTCTTTCCATACCTCTCTTACCCTCACTTTCCAAGTTCTTCCCCTCCCGCCTGTCCCCTCAGAAAGCTGTATTGTATCTCTGCCAGGAGACTGGACGTTCACAAATCTCTGAGAAAACTTTCTGGACTAAAACTGACAATTATATTCTACTGTGAGAAGTACCATCTACATGATATTGTTTTAAAATCAGAGAAAAGAAAGTGTAGAAATTTATGATTTGATAATTGCTATAATTGATAATTTATCATGTTGTCTATTATTTCTTTAAATTAAAGGAAGCATCTAATTAGTTTCTGTGTTAAAGTACTATCAAAATAAGATTATACCAAGACAGTAAACTGCACATCTTTAATGTCACTTTTTTTCTTTTTTTTCCTTGCAGCCCCAGAAGGTGGAAATAATCAAGATATGTCAGCCTGGTTTAACCTCTTTGCAGACCTGGATCCCCTTTCAAATCCAGATGCCATCGGACACTCAGATGATGAACTCCTTAATGCTTGACTAGAATTACTAAGTAGACAATTAAGTAGATAATTATAATGTCACGTCAATGGCCTTGAGGTATCAAATTTTGTAACATATTGCCTTTGTGGGAAGGAGCTGATTGTAATTCAGACATAAGCATGGTGTAATAAGAGTCAAAATATTTGATGTCCAGCTACATAGTAAAGAGTCATGCCAAAAGCACTAAGTTGGAACATCTTTAATACCTTGGTTTTGTAATGTTTGCCAGTAATATGTGGCAAGTACAATAAGCCATTTTGGGTCACAGATAGATATTTAAGCACTAAAATTCCCAAAGAGAAGGTAAAGTCATTCTCAATGAGGGTATATGTTTGTTTCCATGGAAACAACCTTTTTAGGGCCATGTGGTGGTTTTGATCCTTTCATGAGCCCAGCCATTGTCTGGTGGAGTTCTGTGGGTGGATTAAGAGCACTAGAGCATTCAAATTGGTTTGGTGGCTTTAAAAAAAGTAGTTTTGAGGAACAGGGGCATTGAGTTCTATGTTAAAGTATTACTGGAACCATATGAACTTTGCTAGTTTAAAACTAGAGTAAAGACCCAATTAACTCAGTCTGAAAGGATTCAGTAGAAAAGTAGTGCCTATTTTCCCCTCAGAGTCGTTTTCCTGTTGCATAAGTTTTCATTTTTTGAAAAGCAGGGGAATCTTTATTCTACTCAACTAAAAATGTGGTTAAAGTAGGTTAGCCTATCCCAGCTAAATATCTGGAAAACTTCCCATCTCGCAGACTTATGATATAGCCATGCCATGATGGTACAGGGCCTGTTACATGCAGTGTTTAAATTCCAGAAGGAAAAAGAAAAAATGCTTATAAAAATAATACCTAAGCAATCAATGAGAGTGTCTTCTAAGTGCATACTGAATTTGAGTTAAGCCTTATTCATAAATAGCAGGCTCCTTTCAGATTTTTGCATGTACTTTCCCCATATCTTTTCTGGTGGCTTACTTCAAGCCCCAATAGCAGAAATACAAAACACAGTTATAATTAGGGGAATGGCTTAATTTTGCTCGTGGGCATGATTTTAGGTCTACAGTTCTTGTAACAATTTGTTGCAACTGACTTTCAAGTTCTGAGGCAAAATCTTTTGACTCCTACTAAGGCACAGTAGTATTATTTTAGTAGTGGGAGAGAGTTGATGAGCAGTGTTAAGTGTACAAAAATATGGCTTCTCTCTTGTATATCATGATCTACTTGTGTTCCTTTTTTTCTTGTGGCATTCTTTGGTCCCAGGTTTGTTTGTTTTTTTTTAAACCTGCAACTTTCTGGCTCCATTTTTGATTCCCAATCCAGTATTCTCCCCTAACATTACCATATGTTCACTATTGCTTCCAGAATGTGTGCCTAGATCATAATATTACTTAATTAAGAGTCAAAGAAAGAGCCTACAGCTGCACGACATTTTTGGAAATTGAAGCCTTCACATAAGTGAAGGCTTCACAATAAGCCAAAGCATATTCCTACTTAAAGGGCTAAAGGTGCCAAGGAAAGCCCTCTAGGGGAAAAGAAAAGATAGCTATTTCCAGAGAATATGGTAAATTCATTAAGGTGTTGGACAGGATTATTTGGGGATTAAAAATACAGGTGGAAATAAAACAACTATTGGCGTAAGTTTTCATTAAAAAAATACTTCCAAGAGCACATTCATGTGGATCTTCATTCAGTTGTCCCTATTTCTCCAAAAGAAAAGTATGCACTTTTCCATTTATGGCTTTGTACTCAATTACTATCCCAATGGAGCAAGCAAGGATGTCAGGAAACCACTTAATTTTTTGGTGCTCTCAAACTCCATTGAACTGTAGGTGCTCAAAATAATGACTGCTTTGACAGATTTTGAGGAGTGTTATCCTTAAGAAGAGTATAAAACATCAGATACAGTTGCATTTTTTTTCATACGTCCTTAGACATTTTCTTCCTCCCCATACTCCCATGAAAAGTGTCCACGTGAGGATTGGCTGCTTCACTAGTAATCTAAGCAAGTCCATTAAGAAGGCATGAAAAGCCATGTAGGGCACAAAGGACTTGGTTTAAAAGCACTGCCTGAAAACCCTCCTGTAATTAGAGAATCTTTTACTCCAGAAGTCCAAGACAAATAGTCTGAAAGCTAACTAGCACTTAAGATTTGACAACTAAATATGCTACAAATAATCTAATAAAATAAACCAATGCATCCAAGTGAGGTGAAGCAGACTAAAAAGAAACAGCTTAGTAAGCCACGGGATCATTTTCTCCCTCTCACTTCAGATCCACTCACTAAGAGGCAGTGAGCTCTACCATTACGTTTTCTGAGTACGGGAAGAGTATTCTTAGGGAAAAAAAATAACTCCTTACCATTTTTATACTGATTGGGTAAACAAGTCTCTCTTCCTCCGTGTTTTTATACCAGAGAAGAACGGATTTATACTAATAAATAAGTCTAATGAACGGCTTCAGAACTGAACTTTGCCTGTTATCTATAGAGAACACATCCAAATCCACCAAGGTGGGTAAGGTATATATTAGGGTCAAGTTTAATGTAACTTTGTACTTTTTGAAATCTTTAATTATAGAATTTTATAGTTGTGAAATAATACTGGGAACTGAAATTTTAGTGGCACATGCAGAATAAGTGTTTGCATAATAAGTCACATTTTGTCCCAGTAGTCCTCCACTATTACAGAGCAAGTCCTTAGAGGGGGCTACATGTACTTTTCTGTGTTTGCCTTCACTAGACTCAGATGATACTTCAGAAGTGACATCATCCCACTGTATCTAGAGATTTATAGGATAAATTAAAATCCTGATGGTTTGTTTCTGTAAGTTATCAGGATTTTAACTAAGAAGCTTCACGAGGAGCTAAATTCACTGAATTCATGTAGTTATCCAATGACACTGAAAATAAAAATGGGGCAATTGCTATTATTTTTTGTGAGACTGATTCTTTCAAGATTAAAGAACTTGGAAATTTATGTTTCTTCATTATAAATATTCTTGGTTTTAAAAGATCACATATTATTGTTTCTGAGCCTAAAAATACTGGATAATCAAATACAGTGTTTTCAGTGTACGCTAAAGGGTCATATTTGGAAGACTTTAAAGGAGGAATATGCAAAGCCAGATTTTTTCAGTGGCAACATGACCTGATTTGCTGGTGGCAGACCAGGATCAATCCCAGTGATCGACTGCTAGTTTATAAGAAGATTCCCTAAAGGTGGCAGTCTTGTACTTCCTTACCTTGGGGAAAATGGACCTGGTCTGGAATGCCAAGTTTAAGAATAAAGCTGCAAGAAATGTGAGCTTAAAGGGCATCAGACAGTTCAATAACCTCCCCATAAGACAGAGAGAGAGAGAGAGAGAGAGAGAGAGAGAGAGTGTGTGTGTGTGTGTGTGTGTGTGTGTGTGTGTGTGTGTGTGTGTGTGTGTGTGTGTAAAATAGGCTGGGTGGGGCATAGCCAGAATCCAGATTTCAAAGCTCTTCCTTCTGAATTTTCATTTAGAGAAACAACGGAAACTGACTTCATCTCTTTGATGACAGCCTTATGCCAGTTCCTCTGACTAAAACTGCACACAGCAGGATAGCCAAAAGGCAAGCAAGTGGGAAGACCTAGCTAGTGTTGACTAAGGCCAAGATGTTGAAATGCAGATAATCCAATTTTCTCTCTTAAATAAAACTCTGAAATTGGCCCACCAAGGGATTAACATGATCCAACAAAGAATATTCTCAATCTTTTTTCTCTAAAGAAAACCCAAGCTTAAAAATCTATGTATTGAAATCCTGTTAAGTCAGCCTGTTTTGAGATACTCTCAAAGTCGAAGAAAGCTCTTCTCTAAATTATCTGTAATAACAGTAGCCTTTTTATTTCAAACACTAAAAATTCCCAGAATTAATTTATCTACCAATTTTAGGTGGTCAGTCATGGGTCTCTTCCCTAAAGATCATTCTGCCTCTGTATTTAGCTCTTCCCTAAACTTCAAGGTCAGATTAATCAAAGCAGAGGGAAAGCAAACAAGTCAGTCAAAGCATTCCATCTGGCACTTCGTCCCCAAGCTGTGACCCTGGGAAAATTCTTTTTCTTGAATTTCACCCCCAACACCCTTAAAAATATCTGTTATCTATGTAGAGTCTATAACCTGAAATGTATTCAGCAGAAGACTATTTCCACTGAGTTAAAAACTGACAGCATGTAGGGGAAAAGAGAATAAGGGTACCTTATATTTGTACAGCCCATGAGTTTTAAAATAGCATTTCAAACTGTGTTTCCTTTTGATCTTCACAACTATGTGAGGTACAGGATTCTTAAGAAGCACAGAGCCAGATATGCCATTTTGTTTTCTTCCAAATCCAGATCCCTTAACAAAACTCAGCCACATGCATGGAGGCTGCAGCACGAAGCAGTAATATTCCATCCACAGACAAGATGCAAGCTGCATACTTGACATTTACAAGTGTTTTGTAAAAAACAAACAAATAAATGTAACACAACTGACATTCTGGAGAATTTATTTAAGGGGTGTGAATCAGGTGGGTGTGGCTAGGCTGGAAAATGTCTAAGAAGAAATAACTTGCAAACTTAAGTCTCAAATCCATATTTTAGTAAACAGAAAAAACAGCTCCAAACAAAACTTTTCTGCATATCCAAAGATATACTTTTGAAAAAAGGAACTATACGTAGCAACAAAAACTGTAAACACACACTGTAAATCTCATGTAGCTTTCTGGTGAAAATCAAGATTTTTAAAAACTTACTGGTAAAAATGACAACTTATTTTTGCCAGAGAAAAAAATTCTGACTTTTTATGTCACAATGGCAGTGAACTGCTGTGAAAACTATCATACTGTGTTTTAGAGATGGCTTCTAGATACCAACTGAAGGAGAAATGACCACAGTAGCTTCCAAATGTAGGTTTCTTGCACATTTAATACTGTCAAACCAGGTAACAATGACAGACGAATGAAGATTAAGATGCTGGAAATCACATCTCAGCTAATCCTACAGAGTCTGCAGAGGAGTAAGGAAGGAATATGAATGACTGAAAGGAAGAGGACAAAAAAAAGTGTCACCTACCATATCCCAGCTTGGTAACTCAAATTATAATGGAAGAACTTTATTAACAAAATTATATGGGTATTACTAGACTCTAGCTAATAAAAAGGATTCTTATTTAATTTGATTTTTAACTATGTTTTTGCTATTTAGCTTTTAATTTTTAAGAAAAGTAGTTCTGTTAATATTTTTATCACTGGTAGCTATGGAGGTTTCTTTCATCACTTAACATAGGTTCAATGTCTCCCAGCTTTCTCTACTACTAAAACAGTTAGATACTTCATGGTATCTATGACTAGTCAGCAGAGTTGGTTACAGCATGACACTAGCAAGGTCGGCTGTACCCTACGAGAAAGACTACACCCCAAACCCAAGATGACTGTCTTGCAAACACGGGCTACTGATCAAAAGTGGAGCACAATCCATCACTATCAATGGAAAAATAGCTCCAAGCACAGGGCCTTCCTGACAGTGAAATGAAATAACCCTGTAAGCAAACTCACCTCAACTGGCACCTCTTGGAAAACCAACCCAATTCTTAACATTTACCAACATTTCTTTCAATATTCATCTATAATACATATAGAGCTCCCAGACCTGCCGTGTTTCTGCTCCTGGGGCTAGTGGGGAGGGCAGCAAAGAAGCAAGAGCTGATTGGATCATCTTCTTGCTACTTTTACATGCATCTATTCTTTATATCAATCCACTGCAGATCATACCATTTACAACAAATTATACAACAAAGATATTTCTGGAACAAAAATATAATCCGAATTTTCACAGAAATATTTTTTAACAGTAGAAAGGAAAAACATCTCTGTTAAATCCACCGAGATGCACAAATACCTTGTCTTTACATAAAAAGCAAACCACTTTTTTCCATGAGGCACCAACAATTCTTAAGGTACAATGTATACACTTAACACATTTTATACATATGATAACATTCAACATCATTAACACCACCAATGTACAGGACAATTTTTCAAGGAAAACAACCCTGCCTTTTCTTATAAGTACACACCTTCAACATAAAGATGCAATAAGATCTCCCCAGTGCCTCCCAAAATCCTCCTCGTTTTCATCATCATCAGTGTACCATTTGTTGTTGACCGTTCTGCTTATCTATTAAGACAACAGATTTGAACTAGGTTTACGTTTTAAAGTGCCGGGTCAAATTTTTTCAATATTAATGGTAAATTCAGCACCAATGACAGAACTGGATTAAGAAACCAAATATCTTAATTATTATGGAATTTTTCTAAAGCCTGTTGGTGGCACTTAAGGCGCTTTTATTTGTCCCATTTAACAAAAGAAATGAAAAATAGCTTTGTCTTACACAGAAGGTAATAAAAACCTGTTTGTGAACAGTATCACTTCTTCCAGCAAAATCCACATTCTGGAAAAAATGAATACTTTCTGCTTCACCACTCATTTCTTCCACAGGTAGAACAAAATAGTTTCTTCATATCACAGCATTTTAAAGGTCCAATTGGATTTTCAAGCTTAGGCAGAAGTTTTTTAAACATCCTATGTGAAACCTGTAGAATGTCAAGACCGATTTTAGTGCTCATGCTAAGCCATGTTACTAATAGGGGAGAAACAAACAAATGTACTAAGTTCTCAAGAAAGCTTTCAGGAACAAGATCATAGGATTTAGAGTTGAAAGGTATTTAAGATATCATCTAGTCCAATCAACACTATCATTTACAGATGAAGAAACCAATCAAGAGGGGTTGACTGTGTCACCATGGTTGTTAGATTCAGATTTGGTTCTTCTGATTCCAAATCTTGTGCCCTTTCCTTATACCACACCATCTCATATTCAGGTTCAGAGATAACAAAGTAGCTTTTTATTTTAGAAAGCTATCTGATAGCAAGAAAAGTTCATCCACAGAGAAAATGACAATCTTATCCAGAGTAACATCTCCCCTCCTCATCCCCATCCTCCACCAGAAAAGTGGTACAATTTATTTTAAAAGTGTTAGATTTGGAGTTGGCTGACCTGAATTTCAATTCTGGCTCAGCATCCTAGTAATCATGTGACTCTAAATAAGCCATTTAACCTCTTTTGGCCTTGGTTTCCTCATCTGTAAAATTAAGGAGTTCAACTAGATGACCTCTAAGGTCTCTTCTGGCCCTCAATCCATGATCCTTGACCTGAATATGGAGTTTATACCACCTCTGCTATTATGTTTGTATATTGCTTGTTTAATAGTATTTTTGGAAACATAAGAACTTAATTGTAATAGTAACACTATATTTAAGGTTAAGCTTCATCTTAAATTCGTCAAACGTCTATGAAAAGAGACAGATGGGTGAAAGGCTGACAGTTAGAATGGTTAATAATTTTCTCAAGTTTACAATAGAAGCTTATATGCTGAAATTAGCCCTTTGGCAATTGCTGTAAAGTTCTGTATCAATTCAAATGAAATAAAAAGACCCAAAGCTCAGAATCTAAGAACGCATTCAAGGTTAATTTGGAAGCCAAAGAAGTAATCCACCTGGGGATTTTCATTCTTCTCAAAGCCAAGGATTAGATAAGAATTTATTTAAATTCAAAGCCTATATAAACAATAATTTTTAAACATCTGCTTCAAGTGTAATTTTTAAATGCTTCAGATTTAGCAGAAGTAGAACATTCATAGGTATTGTCTATGCTGGATAGAGGTATACATCTAGGTAAAAGCATTCAATTTGCAGTCAACCTAGATTACCTATGCTAAATACAGGAGATTTTGTTTTTAAATGGAAGGTGTATAAGAGTAAAATATAGCAAGGATTATTAAAATTCATAAATTACCCAGAAACTCTAGTGTTCTTAGCCATTGATTTCAACTTCCTCCTACACTTTTCACCAGAAGCACTAACAAAGAAGGAGCCAAGCTGATGGATTTGTTTTATATCTCTTCATATCGCTGGCTCTTTTTTTTTGTACAGTAGCTAATGAACAGTGAATTATCTCAGACAGAAACAAGATGGCAGAGAAATGGGGCTTCAAGATAACAACTGGATGATTAGCTCTTGAATAACTGAAAACTTAACTGCACAAGATATAGTATACTCAGAATTAGTCTCAGATAAAAAGGGTATCAAAGTATACTGTACCTACCAACTGATGTGTAACAGATTTATTCAAATGTATGCATATGGCTAAGTCACATCATTTTAAAATTACTTAACAGGTTTTAATCAACCAATTGTTTGAAAGGAACACGAATACAAGTTTGGTACAGTCTTTCGAAAACACTTATTGCTACTACCAGTTTTTCCCTGAAGGGACAGAACTGTGAGCTTAGAAAACTATGGCTGATTGAACAGTGAAGTTGTTTTCTCCATTTCAAGTGCCCAATACTGGATTCTGACTGTAGTATTTGTAGGGATATAAAATTATTGCATATTAAGATACTATACGAAGTTTTTAAAAGGATGCTTCTTTCAGTTTTTATTTATGTTGACACTGCAAAACAGCTGCCCCTCAACTCAAGCTCTGTCACAAACCACTAATGTTCTTATCTGGAATTTTTCTAAGAGTTGCTTTGATAATCAAATAACCTGCAGCTATTGATTCTATCCGCAGGACTTGCCTAAGCTGAAACTTGGGTCACCTCTCAATGAGAGAAGAGCCCCCTTTCTTTAACTTCTTTTCTATTTTCATTTTCCTTTCTGTTTTTTCCCTTACATGTAAAAAAACCAAACAAACCAACAAACCTAACCATACCCTCAGATGACTGGGATCAGGAAGGTGACCTTTGGGGAGGGGGCAGGAAGGGGGACCACTGGCTGCAGCGGAACACAGCACAATCTGCCCTGAATCAATCCACAACACTGACTGCAAGGTCACGAAAGTAAGGGAGGGGATCCATGCATAGCCACATTAGGATCACTTGGGGCTACAATACATTGAGGGTTGAGCTGAAAATGAAATTTTTGTGCTAAGGGGGAAAGATCACATGATTTCACACACTGTTGCTAAAGTGATCAAGAATGGGGGTTAAGTTATTTTTTGGCTCATTGATTTTCTAACAAAACTCCACTGATAGCATATTAAAGCACTTGTATCCAGAGTGTAGTTTTTTCACCATGCAGATAAAGGTATATAGGAATCTTAAATGTAGAGGAGGGAATAGCACTTTTAAAAGGATGGTATCCAAAGCACAAAACTTCTGACATCAAAAAACAACCTCACATAATGAACTAATATTGCTCTGTGTGTGTGTGTGTGTGTGTGTGTGTGTGTGTGTGTGTGTGTGTGTGTGTGTGTGTTTACATACAAACGTTCAATGCATTTATTTATCTGTTGTTGGTTGGGAGAAGAACATAGTCAAGTGACTAAGATTGCTGGAAAATTTCAACAATCCCTTTGGTCCCAGCAGCTGGAGAACAGCTGAGAATAGCATATATCTAGAAAAGGAAACAAAAAAACAGTGGCCAAGGAAATGTCTTCTGAACATCCTATTGTCTGCTATGCATCTGAAAATTAACATTTGTTATTATTATAAAATAGTCATTTTCATATAAAAGATGGTTCTTGCAGCATCAGTAACTTCTCCCTTTGGTAATTATGTTTGCAGGGATCTGTTTGCTCTTTAAAAAGTCTAACTTGGGACACAAAAAGCATTGTGATAAAATGGTCCTCCAAAAGTAAAGAATGATACAGCCTTTTTCTTTTAACCAGTGCCAAAAAAAAAAGTGGGATGTGAACTGAGTTTGAGACTTCACAAATGGGGTACAGCAGTCACAAGTACTGCTTTCTTATGGAAGCTCATCATGACATCATCACCACAGACAGCTGGGGGCATGTCACTACCAAAACAGTTTAGGAGTCTATTGATGGCAGACTCAATTGATGGAAGGAGGCATGATTTGGAATGTTCATTCACACCTTATTCCCAATTAGGTTCTCTTAGTTTCCCAGAGCAATAGTAATCTATCCCTCAGCCTCCTCAAATGGTCCTGATTGCTGGAGTATAGAGGTCTGTGGTATAACTGTACTCGTTCCTCGAGAAATCCGGTCTTGTTCTGGGTTTGTAGACAGGGAGGCCATGGCGATAGGCTGCAGCAAAGTGGGGGCCATGCCAGTGGAGACAGTCAGGCCATGGCTTGAGCCCTTAAGGGTAAGATCTTGGGTGGGAAGAAGTGGCTTGAGGATGCTGACGAGGCAGAAGGCAGAGCCGCTTTTAGGAATGAAATTCACTTTATTCTTGTCAGGACAGTAAAAGGCTGGGATTTCATGAAGTTGCTTTGGCCTAGACACAAAAGACAAAAACAACAAAATGATTTCAAAATGTTTTGCCTATTCTAGTTTTCCAGGTAATCTGTAAGTACATAAAGAAAATCAATATGTGTATAAGACAATTTGCCCCCTCTCCCCAAAAACATCCTCAAGCAGCTAGAGTAAAAAAGCCCTTAAAAATGGGACTTGGTTTAGGCTGCTGCTGTGGAGTGGGGGAAAACTCCGACAACCACAGCTGCCAATTTCTTGAAAATCACTCTCCACAAAGGCAATAAGGAGCGGAGAAGCCCAGACTTTCAATTTAGGAGGCAGCCAATAAGGGTAAATAGATAACACTGGCCCAAAGAAATACAAAATGGTAATGTTCAGGTTTTTTTTTTATAAAGACTATATAAATTACAATCATGCATTTCAAATGTTATAGCCACCAGAAATGTCTACAAATTTTGGTTGTTAAAAATAAAGCACTAATACTTTACACAGGTCATGCGAGTAACTGTTATCTACTGCAGAGATCAACAAAATTATTGCGAGACAGGGACCTTAGGCATTTTTAAAAGCTCACTAAAATGATCCCTTCAATGTATAGGTTTTCTGAGCAACATAACGTCAAGCCTGGGCTTTGGTTTTAGAGTTTGTTCTGAACGCCCCACTCGGGAGGAAGTAGACAGCGCACCGGTACTGAATTCAGAAGACTCAGGTTCAAGTTGTGTCCCTTAACTGCAGACCTGGGACCAGCATCCCTCTTTCACCACGACAATGCTATGAGGGACCACTTCTCTTTCGGAAAACTATCTATGGACCGATTCTAGTTTCTTGATTAAAGCAGAAACATTCATTTGGAGTCTAAGGGTATAGATTTTATTTCCTTTGAGCTGGAAAGGTATTAGGTAAATTATACATAATATCCCTCAAGAGGATATAACTGCTCTAGGGAAGAACAGTACAATTTTTTTTCTTTTCAAGGTAAAAAATAAAAATTATTTAAATATATTCCAAATCAGTCTTAAAGAGAGATAATTTTACTTGACTGAGCTACTATCCTAGTAAGCCTTAGTTCATAATGCTTAACTAAGTGCATTACTAATGCATAACTAAGCATTAGTTCAATTTGGAGTTTCAAATGTCAAGATTTCTTATGTTGAAACTCCAAATTTTCAAAACATAAAGAAACTCCAACAAGGCTTTTGACTTGAAATTGAACGCTAAAATGTTTCCCTAGTGGATTTAGGATACATACCTCTCTGCTTAAATTGTGGTGTTTAAAAAGCTAAAGCTGGAGGCAGCTAGGTGGCGCAGTAGATAGAGCATCGACCTTGAAGTCAGGAGGACCTGAGTTCAAATGTGGCCTCAGACCAAACACTAGACACTTATCAGCTGTGTGACCCTGGGCAAATCACTTAACCCCAATTGCTTTAAAAAGAAAAAAAGCTAAAGCTACATTAACTATGTTTCAATAATTCATCTGAATTGACCTTATCTCTATCTTATAATTAAGACAGAGTTCTGAATTTACAAAAATTGAGTAAGGAACTTCATGTGTTTTATATAATCTGAAACCAATAATTTTAATCATTTTCAGATGGTAATATAAAATTTGGTAAAAAGCTATCTATATATATTATATTGCAGCTTGGCTCTAACTTATTTTTTAAAGGTTTCAAAATAAATTTTGGTACTAGAAAGTCTTTTACTGACACAACACAAAAACCACTATGTTCATCAGGAAATACAGTAGGGAACTCAGGAACAAGGCTACGGAGCTAAGACAATGCAGAGATTACTAATCTGGAAGTTTTACAAAGCAGTTTCCTAAAAGCATTTATATTTGTTTCCTACTCCACCCACCCCCAGTACTCTGGCTTTGATTAGAACCCAGGTTCATATGTCTATAATAAAATAATAATTCACAATTAAATAGCATTTTAGAGTTTACAGTGTTTTAATGAAACAAATTTCCTAATGTGAATCATGTCAAAACTAAACTACGCTTGTCTACATAAATTTAAGACCTAGATTTATAAATACCACACTACACTATGTAATTCCTACGGTCTTCATCCCTAGCAGTAGTGATAAAGAAAAACCTAGCTTCTTTGGGACTCATTTACCCAATCTAGATCACAGAATTCCAGAAGGAAAGTATTTTAGGATCTACTCCAAACCCCTCATTTTACAGATTTGGAAACTAAAGAGGTCAAGTGGCTTGTCTAACATCACACTGCTAGTGAGCAGCAGTCATTTCTGGAGGTCTCCTGACCCCAATTAGTCCACTTTTTACTACCTCCTGCTGCCTCTCTAAGCTACTGACCCCTGGCATTGCACACTCCACTGTTCTGATACTTCCTTTCATTTTAATTGTATTCAACAAACATTTATGAAATGTGTATTATGGATACTGTCTACAGAGCACTATATTAGCCATGTACAGGAAAGGTAAGAGGAGGGAGGGTTCAGGGGAAAAATGGTAAGTTTGAGTTTAGGGTATCTACAGGACATCCATTTTGAGATGTCTGAAAAGCAGCTGGAGAGGCAAGACAGAAGTCAGCAAAGGGACTGGGACAGGATAGGTGTATTTGAGAAATAAGGGAGCTGATAAGATCACCAAAGGAAATCAGATGGAAAAACAGATTTCAGAGAAAAGACAAGTTTTGTTTTGTGGTTCTTAAGTGTTCTTTAAGAATCAACTCAGGATGAAGTGAGCAGAACTAGGAGAACATCATACACAGTAATAGCAACACTGTGCAATGATTAACTTTGATAGACTTAGCTCTTCTCAGCAATGTAAGGATCTAAGACATTTCCAAAGGCCTCATGATGGAAAATGCTGTCACTATCCAGAGAAAGAACTATGGAGTCTGAATGCAGATTGAAGCATACTATTTGCTCTTTTTTTTTTGTTCTTTTTTGTCATTCCTCCTCTCACTGGTGCTAATTCTTCTTTACAACATGACTAATATGAAAATACGTTTAATAGGAATGTATATGTAGAGCCTATATCAAATTGCGTGCCATCTTGGGGAGGGAGGTGGGAAGGGAGGGAAAGAAAAATTTAAAACTCAAAAGCTTATGGAAGTGAATGCTGAAAATGAAAAATAAATTAATTAAAAAAAAGAAATCAGATTATATAATGTATTGTTTCCTTTTAATTAATTGGCCTTATTTGAATAACTGTTTTTAATGTATAAAAGTCTGTCTCCACCATATTTAGGGTCTAGGCCTAAGCTGAGGAGGTCTGGTCCCTCTTTGTTAGGTAATTGGCACGTACTGCTTAATAAATCAAAAGATTTAAAAAAAAAAAAGAATCAACTCGGGAATCACATGTCTTAAAAAGATATCTTTCCGGATCGCTCCAGCTGCTAGTACCCTCCTTCCCAAAATGACCTTGTTTCACATACTTTGCACCTCTTTTGTATGTGTACATTTATTTATACATTAGAATGTAAAGTTTTTTAGAAGCAAGAACTGGTCTTTGTATCTTTGGTGTTAAGCAATGTGACTGGCATAGCAGGCATTTAACAAATGCTTCCTGACTGACCAACACGTTAAGTTCTCAAAGTGTGGGGCACATCAAGGTGACCCTGTTCTCAGTCAGCAAGAGCGCTGGATCTGGAGCGTAGGTCAGGCCTGAGAATAAAAACTGGTAAGTCATTTCATGGAGGCAAGGACACAGAGAAAAGAAGCCATGGATGTAACTTCGGCAGTCACCCCCAGTGGAAGATGCCGGCTGGATCTACAAGAAGAAGAGCATGGAAAGGAGATGGAAAGGGGGCAAGCAGGAAGAGAAGAGAACATCAATCAAGTCAGCAGAGCTCAAGAGTGCATATGGATCCAAGGAGAATTAAAAGAACATTAAGGACAAGTGCGGCTTCACCGAGTAGAGAGCATGCCAGATAAACCCAACCTCATTTTTTTGACGGGGGTTAATTAAGGGCAGAACTAAGAGTTATGGTTGGATCATAGATTCAGATCTGAAACATAACTTTGTCAGGGAGTGGCAAGGAGGCACACTCAGTCTTGATATAAAAAATATCCTAAAAATGAGAGCTACCCACAAGTGAAATGGGTCACCTGGGGAGGTGATGACTATCTCCATCTCCCCACCCACCTCTCGCCCAAGATCTCCAAGCAAAGGAATAACGATGATTGTCAGGCCTGGGGTAGGCAGCCTCTAAGATTCCTTACAACTCTGAGATTCGGTCACTGGCAGATGAATGGTAGTTTGGTCTACATTTCTAAAAGGCATCAAACACCCTGATATTTTTCTTCTTGACAAGATGAGAGCTGTGGGCTTCATGATAGCTGGATAGGTGAATTTGAAAAGATGTAGAACAGTCATAAAGAGATAGCTAAGAACCTGAAGGAAGGTCTTCAGTGAAATGCGCCAGAGAGCTAACTTTGGTTCTACGTTGTTGACCATTTTTACCAATGACGTGGATAAAGGCAAAGATATCATGCTTACATCATCTGCAGAAGATAGTACCAGCAAAGATTACTAACACAATGAATAACAAAGTCATGATTCAAAAAGGTCTTGATAGGTTAGAACACTATGGGCTGAAGTCTAATACGATGAAAATTAAGTGGAATAGCTGCAAAGTCCTACACCTAGTCTCAAAAAATTCAAACATAGGAGATTGGGGTAGAACAGCTGGACAGCTATTTGTCTGAAAGTGACATATGCCTGTGGTGAACTGTCAACTCATTATGAGTCAACAGTATGGTATGGTGGCCTAAAAAGCTGAAGTGATCCTTGGGCAGCAGCAAGAAAAGCCTGTTGTCCAGGATCAAGGGGCCAATGCGTTCTTTTTTAAGGCTTTAGAAGAAGGGCCTTGTGAGGATCAGCTGAAACAAATGAGAATGTTCAGGCTAAAGAAGAATCAAAGAACTTCAGGAGACAGCAGGGACTTCAGTGGTCACATGTCCACCCATGAGAACACACCTGATGTCTGTGGGGTGGTCGTTCAGCCACTTCCTGAAGACACCCAAAAGGGTTTTGCATGCACCTATCAC